CATTTTATAGTTTCAACAAGCAGTGTTTAATGGAATAGAATTTAGAGCAGCTTTTATTGGTAAGCATAGCAATAACTTAAATCTATATACTATACATTGTGTCATCTGTTAATAATAATAATGGGGGAGTAAATTCCATAGCTTATTCTCAGTAATTGTTGAAAATTTTGCACTTACATGCATTCTATATCTATATACTACACATTGTTCCATCCATTGTGTAAATTCCATAGTTTATTCTCAGTAATTGTTAAAAACTTTGCACTTACATGCATTCTATATCTATATACTACACATCGTTTCATCCATTGTGTAAATTCCATAGTTTATTCTCAGTAATTGTTGAAATTTTGCACTTACATGCATTCTATATCTATATACTACACATTGTTCCATCCATTGTGTAAATTCCATAGTTTATTCTCAGTAATTGTTAAAAACTTTGCACTTACATGCATTCTATATCTATATACTATACATTGTTCCATAATGGGGGAGTAAATTCCATAGTTTCTTCTCCGTAATTGTTGAAATTTTGCACTTACATGCATTCTATACCTATATACTACACATTGTTCCATCCATTGTGTAAATTCCATAGTTTATTCTCAGTAATTGTTAAAAACTTTGCACTTACATGCATTCTATATCTATATACTATACATTGTTCCATAATGGGGGAGTAAATTCCATAGTTTCTTCTTCGTAATTGTTGAAATTTTGCACTTACATGCATTCTATATCTATATACTACACATTGTTCCATCCATTGTGTAAATTCCATAGTTTATTCTCAGTAATTGTTAAAAACTTTGCACTTACATGCATTCTATATCTATATACTATACATTGTTCCATAATGGGGGAGTAAATTCCATAGTTTTTTCTCCGTAATTGTTGAAATTTTGCACTTACATGCATTCTATATCTATATAATACACATTGTTCCATCTATATTAATAATAATGGGGGAGTAAATTCCATAGTTTATTCTCAGTAATTAAAAATTTGTACTTACATGTATTCTATTCATCAATAGATGACACATTACAGGTTGATACTCAGGTTGGACAAGACAATACTAATGGTTTGACCTCCAATGAAATAGCATCAATCAGATTACCACAAAGCATCATAAGTATCATTGAGAATGATAGAATTGATTTAGCATTCACACTATACAATAAATCAGTATTGTTTCCTATCAGAGAGCCTCCCCCTAATACAATAGTGGGATCATCAGTTATTGGTGCAAGAATTGGTGGAGTATCTGATGGTACTAAACTACCTGATCCAGTAGTTATTAATCTGGCACTGAGGAGAATAGCAGTAAGTGAGCATCATTGATAATGATTACTTTCCATTTTCAAAGAATATTACTAACCCTCGCTGTGTGTATTGGAATTTCACTACAGCAGGTTAAGTTACAGTAGTGGTGATAGCACTACATTGGTAATTAATGTTTATGTTTGTGTAGGTGGTAGGGGAAATTGGTCTACTGATGGATGTAATACGACAGTTAATGCCACTACTAATGATCTCAGTTTCATCAATTGCCATTGTGATCATCTAACAAACTTTGCTTGTCTTGTGGTAACAAAATAAATCTAATTCACCCTCTATAGCTGTATATACTCTTTATAGGATGTGGATGTGTCTGCTACAACTAATGGAGCTACTGAAGCTCCTCAAGATTCCAATCTTATACTAAAAGTTGTATCAATAGTTGGTGTATGTTTCTCATTAGTGGGGCTATTACTAACAATTATTACTTTTATTATATTTAAGTAAGTGTATGTGCATCAAATTATTCTGTATTACAATTATTGTGCTTTGTAATAGGAAATTAAGGGCGAGGGAAGCTAGCAAGTTTCACATTCAACTCTGTCTCTCGATAATTTTCGGGTCAATAGTATTTATTGTTGGTATTGATAGAGTATCAGTGAGAGCTGGTTGTATAACAGCTGGTGTTCTCATGCATTACTTTTCTCTTGTATCTTATATTTGGATGGGAGCTGAGGCTTTGCTAATGTTTCAAAAACTAGTCATTGTATTCACAGACATTACATGGAAATACTTAACTGCTGTTTCCATTTTATGCTGGAGTAAGAAAAAAATGATTTTGCATAATAATGATTCCTCTATAGCTTTGCCACTCTTGCCAGTTGTAATCACATTAGCAATTGACCGTGACTTTTACATTTTTTTATATGAAAAAGATGAAAATGGAAACCAGTCTGGATTGTAAGTGACAAATGTATATTATACTATAATAATAGTTCTGTTGTTGTTTCTATAGTTGTTTTATTACTGAAATGATACCCTTTCTTGCTGCTTTTCTGCTTCCAATTTTCATCATACTGATCTTCAATGTTATTATATTTGTCCTCATTATTCGTGTGGTTATCCTCCACACTATTGGTAAGAAGAAGAGAATGAATAAATCTCCACTTACCACATCTGATGCAATCAAAATGCTAATATTTTATTTTGGTGTCTTGATACTCTTTGGTCTCACGTGGTTCATTGCTGTCCTCACGTACATTATTGATCCTAACATCCCATACATCATTCGGCTCATTTTTGCTTTCTTCAATGGATTTGAAGGTTTCTTTATTTTCTTCTTTCTTGTTATTCTAAGCAGTGACTCGAGAAATGCTTGGAAATCACTTCTCTGTCCTTGGACAGTGAGGGATGGAACGGCATCCAAAGTTGTTAAAAATAAAACTTCAAATATTCAAGTTACGTTACCACAAGCCAAAAATGAAGTGAGTCTAGTTTCGATTAACAGGAAAGATAAAGGAAAAGATTTTGTTGAAAATTTATCAATCGAAAGCGAAACAATTCTTGAAGACAGTGGTTTTTCTAATGATGATGATTCCATGATTTCCAAGTCTGGTAGTATTCGTTTTGATTGTCATTTTTCTACACGACGTAAACACAATGTGGAAAAAATTGAGATAGACTTTACCCATGGCGATGATGACAATGGAGATATTTGAGACATGAAAGATTTTGATTTGTTTGTTTTTCATTCTCTATTCTTATTATTTTTATTAGAAACTGCTACTAATGTGAAATGCCTCAAGTTATTGTTTTTAACTTTTACATCTTTATAAATAGATAATACCTTCACTGTTTTAACTGTTATCATCATCATAATTATTTAATCATAGTTTCAATTGAGATAATTATTGTTAAGTGTTTGATTTCCTAATTTTAGAATGATATGATATTTGAGTAGTTAATGATGTCATAAATTCATTCGATTAAAAATATAGTTTGATAGCAATGATGAGAGAAGCAGTGCTAGTCTTTGTTTTATGTGTTCTGTCACTATCAGTTGCTCAGGATTGTCCTCTACCAACAATAGCAGAAATAGAGGCTGTATTGCCTCCTTTACTAGTCATTTCTGATGGTAGCCAGTCATACTCTCCTAATGTAACTGAAGGATCAGTTCGATATGTCTGTCTAGCTCAAGGGGACATAATTGCTACTTATGAAGCCATAGCTCTTATAGCTACATTCACTCCTAACCCAAGAGAACCTGAACAAACTAGGATATTTGATATTGAGTGTATCAGTGGTACATGGAGTGGAAGGACTGGTAGTTTAGATCCTCCTCCTGCCAGTGTTGTTGATGTTCCTCCAAGAACTGATTGTTATCGGTGTCGGGAAGGTTTTGGTGGTGATACTAGATGTAGAGGTAAGTCAATTAAAATAAAAATAGTAACTATTATTTTGTTGCTCTTATGTAGTATGTAATAGTGCTTGTAATTCTGGACTGATGAGGTGTACTGGATACTCTTCTAATGATTGTTGTTTATCATTTGCTGCTAATGGTCAGTGTGATGGTAGCACTGACTGTACATCATCAGGTCCTAACTATGTTGCTACTGAGAGTAATAACTTCACTTGCAGTATGTTTATTATCTAAAATAATAATAATGATTTAATACTTTTAATGTCATAGGCTGCAATTTAACCTGTTCTACTGGTTATACTATTAATTCTAATTGTGTTGACTGTGATTTCACTAGTATCTGTGATAGAGACAGTCCATGTATGAATGGAGGAGAGTGTATACAGTATTCACCTGCTATCAACTACACTTGTGATTGCACTGGCTCATATACCGGATATAATTGCTCAGGTATTATATTAGTAAAAATTTAAGTTTATGATCAAAACATACAGTTGCTATTATATGACATTACTATTCATTTATTAACAGATTGCAGTCTATCCTGTTCTGATGGCTATACTGTTAATTCTAAGTGTACTGACTGTGATTTCACTAGTATCTGTGATGCAGACAGTCCGTGTATGAATGAAGGAGAGTGTATACAGTATTCACCTTCTGATAATTATACTTGTGATTGTACTGGCACTGGATACCAGGGAGTCAACTGTACTTTTGGTGAGTTATATATACGTAGTCTCTAATATCTGGTTATAGTGTAAACTGGCTACCTAGCCTACCTGTACTCTTTATGGGATAGCATGTAATTTATAATTGGCTGTTAGTGTGGAGCAATAAGTATTAAATATTAATTCACTCATTTCTTAATACCATATAAATGGCTTTTTCGAGGGTTGCAAATTTCACAAATTTTATGAATTCATTCCTGATTCGTGAAAATAAAATCTGCAAAAATCAATATAATTATGGTGCCCACATGGCACATGGTAGAATTCGCAAAATTAAAATCCACGAATTGGAAATTTATTATATTCTGTGAAACAATCATAATTTTCTTAAAAAACCACTTATACCGTATATAGCTCATCTATGTACACAGTCTGGTTGTGAGAGATGTGATACTACTGGATGCTGTCAAACCTGTTCATCAGGTTATAGTACGAGTGATGATAATTGTTCTTGTGGTAAGTTATAAAAACAGTGAAAGTTTATATCATGCAGTATAACATACATGTAGTTTGTTCATTGTCCTGTAACAGTGGATACACTCCATTAGCTAATTGCACTAGTTGTGTTTTGACTGACATTTGTGAAGCATCAAATCCTTGTGGCACTGCTGACTGCTCACTAGGATCTCAACCATATCAATACACTTGCTACTGTGCTACTAATAGTTAGTGCTGTACTAATAATAAATAAGTCGTTGTATATTGTATATTGATATAGATACTCAAAATCAAAGTCTGTCAGCTTCTATCATTGCAATTATTACAGTGCTATCATTGATAGTTGCTGCGTGCATTGAACTGATTGTTATACTGGTATTGGTTGTTGTTGTGATTTGGATTAAGAAGGAAAAGCAGCAGCAGGAGCAGCCTACTAATGACTATGGTACATTAATACTCAATTAACCATTAGGTTGTTTTTCTTTCTAACAATAGCTGCAATTGTCCCAGTTATTTCAGACCCAGAAACAGAGGTTAACCTTGCTTATGAAGCTGTCAGGCAAAGTTAATTTGTTTTATGACATAACTAATGCATCACATTTTCAAATTGTGATAATTTGGTGTAATTATGTTAAAGATGATTCTCCTCCTCTTAAGTTCTGTCCATTTGTGTTGTTGTCTTTTTATATTATCATAATGACTTTATCCAATTTTGGAGCAACTTTAAAAATTTGTAAAAATCCATATTTGACCAGAATCAATTCAAACTTTCTACGCAACGTAAGTATATGTATATGCATTAAAAATTATAAAACGAAGAATTCTTTCCCTTTTATTTTTGAGCAACTTAAAAAATTTGTAAAATTTGTAAAAACGGTCCAGCAGCCATAGTGTCACTTTTTCCTTTCTTGAGAATGATCTGATGGGGCATGGACCTGCGCATAGTCATTTGGAGTAGAATAGTATAAGAATTATCCTTGTAGCACCAGCCAATATTGAGATACACCTCACCAATGGAATTGACAGGACTTGATGATGACGATGATGAAAAAGGTGGCTGAACAAAATGAACTTTTTGCCAATTTTTAACTTTCCTCTTAGACAAGGTTTAGAGCCACACTAGTGGTACCAATGATCAAGATAAGATCCTCTAAGGAGCCTGGTAAGCATAGGAGCTTGTTTTCCCGGTATAGCAAGGCTGTAAAAGTCATGGCAGCCATTTTGATTCCGGGTGAATCCTACATTGTAAATGCTACCGCGTTACTAATAGTACAGGGACTTGGCCCAATTTTTGAGCAACTTTTAAAATTCGTAAAAAATCTAAATTTGATTAGAATTAGCTCAAACTTTCTACACAACATAAAAACATGCATGTATCAAAAAAAATTATATAAATGGAGAATTCTTTCTTTTTAAATTTTAGCAAAATTTGGCTCAGAACCCTGTACTAAGTACAGGGACCTTGGCCTGATTTTTGAGCAACTTAAAAATTCATAAAATATCCAATTTTAATCGGAATCTGCTCAAACTTGTTACACAACATATGTACATCTATATATCAGAAAAAAAATTTTAAATGAAACATCTCTAGTCATTTTAGGCAAAATTTTCCTGTACTGGGGTCATTGGTCTGATTTTTGAGCAAGTTTAAAACTTTTCATAAAAAATCCAATCTTTAATAAACGGAATCAACTCAAAATTTCAGAAAAACATAAAATCATGTATACAGATAAAATTATAAAAACTCTCTCCTATCTCTTTTTTATGAAATACCAGTATTGTGAATAGTTGTGATCAATATTACTAAATGTCATTATGCATTGACTTACCATGGAGATACAATCAATGAGTGGCCCCATGCAACATAAGTAGCACTTTCATCTCTAGCAACACTACAGAAAGCAGTATATACCTGACAATCAACTGATCTGTTTGTAATAAAGAGAAGGAATAATAATACCATATGTTGGGAAAGTTATTCATTATGTAAATTCAATTTACATAATGAATAACTTTCCCAACTAAATTGATTAAAAATGCTCTCGCTCTCTCGCTACCTTGCTCTTGCTAACAGCTCCCAATGGGCTGGGCCTGTTGTCATGTTAAAAGCTCCTGGATACACTAAAACCTTGCAACCTAAAAGAGAGGAGGAAGAAGAGGAAAGGGAGAGAGAGAGAGAGAAAGTAGTAGGGATTTATATGGGAACAGAGGCTGACCTCTATTTCTATAAAGACCTGCAAGCTCAGGAAATCGTGCATCATAGCATATGCCAAGACCAAACTTGCACCATTCTATGAGTGATAAAAAGCAAATCAAACAAGAAGAGGATAAATCATTAATTATTTCCATCTGTCCGTCCCTCTCTCTCACATACACACTATACAGTACCAGTATCAAATGTCTGTGGGGTCTGTCCAGGACTAAGTACATCCGATTCAGTGAATTTAATCTTTCCAGGAACGTCTATGTCAAATAAGTGCAACTGTGTATGTACACGTATGTGTAACTTAAATTGTGTTGCAAATAAATTTTACATTTTACCTTTCTATACAGTGCAAGCTGATTCCCATCAGGGCCAAAAACAGAGCAAGTGTTGTAAATCTTGTCTTGATACTTTTCAGGTATACTGCCTATACAATAAACAATGACTGTTTGACACATTATTAGTGGCTCTCACCTCCAATGAGATAAGTCTTTGTTTCTTTAGCTAATTCTGAGAGCATCCTCGTTGAGTCTCCGTCCGGGACAGGCTCACAGTATTCAGGGAAGTAACGAGTCCCATAGGGTGAGTTGAAACATTCTGGCAGACTAACTACTTGGGCACCGTTGCTGGCCGCCTCGCGGACCATCTCAGCTGCTCTCTGGAGATTTTTGACTTTATTGGAGCCAGGGAGACACTGAACGAGGGCTAGTCTAAACGTTTGAGCTACTGGTGTAGATAAAAATGAATAATAGAACATGTCTTGTATCTTTACCTTTGGTAGCCATTATAATGATAGGTGTGGCCAATATCTAGGTGGGGCTGAAAATCAAATTGCAGAATCAACAGAATCAGGTGACTTCTAACAACTAACAAGACTACTAACATAGATATTAACTTCTAACATGGACCATAAAGGACAAAGAAAGCTCCAAGTACTATTACAATAGAATATATTATACAGTGAAGGCAAATATGAATGAATACAGATAAAAACTGAGCCTGAGGGTATTTAGTCAAACATGGCTGATGGCTCTCTAAAAGAATTTCTAAAATTGCTCAAAAAATTGAACCAAAATTGTCTCATGCCAAACTTTGTCAAAAATGAAAAGGAAAGATTTCTCCACTTTTTTCTGATACATGTAAATGTTCTTATTTTGTGTAGCAAGTTTTAGCTAGATCTAATTCCGACTCAAATCTGTCTGAATTTTTAAAGTTGTACAGGGCATTGGCAGGCAAACTTTGCCAAAAATGAAATTTTCTATTTTTATAATTTTTTCTGATATTTATTAAGTTTCAGCTGATTCCGAATTTCTGATCAAAGTTAGATTTTTTTTAAACAAATTCTTTAAGCTGCTCTAAAATCAAGCGAAATTCCCTGTACAGGGAATTCGCCAAAGTCCCTTGCAGGGTCTTTGGCTAAAAATGAAATTTTGAGAATTTACCATTTAAAATTTTTTTTATAATGCATATACATGTCAAAAGTTTGAGATGATTCTAATAAAAATTCAATTTTATACAAATCTTAAAAGTTGCTCCAAAATCAAGCCAAAGTCCCTGTACTTGTTGTATTTTTATCAGAAATGGTTCAGAGAGAGCTCTTATGTTTTGCTTAGGAAAATGAAGAGGGCCGAGTTGTAACAGGACCTCAAAGAGATAAAATTCATGGTAGAAATACTGTCCAAGATCTACCACTTAAAAATACAGATGACAATGACACCCCACTAACGACTGATACTGATCAAATCATTACGTCTCAGTCTGGGTCAGAGGACAGTGATTCAGACGGCACTGATCAAGAAAGTGATTCAGATACCGATCATGATGCTGATAAAGATGAGTTAGATGAACCTCCACACAAGATTAATCTTCCCAAAACAACCGAACAACAAGATGTTCAAGCGACCAATCAGCTTCGCTACCGAAACACCTCAAGCAAGAAACCCCAACACAAAGAGTATTTGGATGAATTCAGCAAAGAATATCCAAAAGAAGAGTCTAACAAAAAATTTGATCCTCCTTCAACTGAGAGTCCTTCATCATGTTCGTGTCCATTTATTTTGGCATTGCTAATTCTGATTGCTCTCCTTGCATTCTTATTAGGATTCCTTGGTGGCTCTGTCTGGTCAAGCAATAGGTGTCTGAGGTCTTGTATGGCAGAATTAAATGGACAGAGGATTGCCATGCAGGAGGAATGCAAGGACAAAGATAACCTGGAACTAAAAGGTTTGTTGAAGGAAATGGAACTTGAAATGAGACACTTAGAAAAGGAATTAAATGCCTCAAAAGACGAGAGTAAGAGGTTGCATCAATCATCTAGAGAATGTACTGAAGATTATGACAAATGTAAGGATCAAAAGTTAACATGTCTTGCTGATCTTTTGAAAAGCCAAGAGGACGCTAAGAGGAAGAAAGAGGATCTTGCAGCATATCAACTAGAGGAAGTTTCTAAACTTCAGAAAGGGCTCGAAAAGAAGGAAGAAGAGCTAGAACAGTGCAAAGAGAAGAAGAAAAAGTGTGAAGATGATCTTGAAGCATGCCTTAAAGAAACCAAAAAGAAGGAGAAGGAATGCGATGAGGATAAGAAAGAATGTCGTCATGAGCTTTCAATTTGTCTTGTAAACATTAAAGCAATAGAAGTGAAGCTAGATGCATGTGATAAGGAAAAGATAGAATGTGAAAATAAACAACATAAGAAACCTTGCAACAAGAGAAGAAAGCATCATCATCATCATCATGATCATCATCATCACCATGGTCACCATCACCATGGTCACCATCATCATTGCCATTAAATTTATTTGCTATACTAATTATTTTAATAATAAACTATAATTGTAATGATTTTATAAATTTAATAAGTTACTGTTTAATAAACTGAATGATTCTGAACTGAACTGCTCAAAAATAAGAAGTTTAACTTGAAAAGAAAAGAATGGAGGTAAGTGTTAAGTTATAATGACATGTATTAGCTTAAGAAGGAATCTCAAGTTGCTAGCAGCATTTGCAAAAATAATGGTTAAGCTTATAAAATTAAGATCAGGCATTAATTAAACTAGAACTAGTCTAGTATCCAGTGATTTAATATCAAACCAGGAGAAAGAGTGGGAACTAATTACATGTCTCATTTGTAATTTTTTTGTAACTCTCCTTTTGTATTTTTGGATTGTATGAATATATCATTGACTGCATGTTGTCACCCAGCTGTGCAATTTTTGCTGACAAGGATTTTTATGAGGGGAAGTACTTTTAACAAAATGTTATTATAAGCAACCACAATGATGTTTTTGCTGAAACTGGCTATTTAGTGCTATTATATGATCATATTTTTTATTTATAGGATAGTGAAGACCCTCAGAGGCCCATTCCAAAGCAAAAGACATTACTTTGCCATAAATGTGAATCACTGCCTCAGTCTCACCATAAACAACTAGAGAAAAACCCTCCTCATAATGTAAGTACTTACTTACACGATATAAGGTCATAACTGTGCATACTTGCTAAGTCTTTATCATTATTAGAGGTGCTATATCAAATATTCTATCCTATATGATATCAGAGGTGCTATATGATATAGGAGGTTTTATATCATATGCCATTTCAAATGTAATGTAATTTTATAGTAATATATATAATAATTTGACTCATTTGGCACCCCATATATATATATACCATACTATAGTATGGCAATGCACATTAGTCTTCTATTATTTGTTCTTTGATGACATTGACCATGCATATTTGTATGGTTGTGCATGAAATGCATGTATCTTAAATTGTGCACATTTCTGCATAACCTATTATGATAGTTCTTAATTTGGTGTCTATATTTTTACTTGCAGGACAAAAGTTGTTGCTATCTTCTTATTATATGCATTCTAGTTGCTATACTTGCTATATTTGCTGTTCTACTTTTGGACTCTCAAGATAAGTTGGCTAATTGCCAAAATGAAAAGAAGACAAAGATAGAAGAATTGAACCGTCTTCATGTAAATGAAGTTAGTAGCTTTAAAGAAAAGATTGCTCAAACTGAGAATCAAATTGGAATGGACAACGACATCTTTAAACTGAAAGCAGAAATGAAAGAGCTTAATCATGAAACATGCAAGCAAGAAAAAGCTGAATGCATCAAGGAAAAGGAAGAGCTGAGGAAAGGTATAGAACAGTTGAGTGAGCAAAAAGCAGCTCTCAATTTAAATTATACAACATGTGACTCTGAGAGGCCAGCACACAACGAATGCAAAAATGACAAGCAAACATGCCTTAAGGAAATTCGTAACCTTAATGACTTTATTGATAAATTAAAGAGTGACATAGCAGCTTTAAATGTGAAATATGCAAAGTGTGATACACATAGAGATGACTTCGAGCAATGCAAAGTTGAAAGGAGAGAGCTCGAGCATAATTACAAGAAACTGGAGGCAGAATTGAGGGCTCTTAACATAGAAGCTGTCAGACTCAACATAACTCACAGCTATGATAACAAGGAAATAAAAACCTGTGACCGACGTCTTCATGATTCTAATGTAAAGATGCTGGAGTACATGGAAAAGTATGTGACTTGCCTGAAGGACAAAGACAGCACAAACTCTGAACCACAGAAGATATGTAAAGTAGAGCTTGCAGAATGTTTAGCTAATTTAAGGCAAGTTATAGATACCAGCAGTGAGTGTCAAGAAAAACTTGCTAGGTGCATCTGGTGCTAAAAAGTTCTAGAACCTTTCTTGAGACTTGTTTTTTTTTGATTAATTATTTACCTAGTCCTATTTACGCATGTTAGCTTTTTCCATTTACCTTTATAGTAATCTATTTATACACACACTAGTCACCAGATTACACACAGAGTAGTTTGTTTTTTACTGTTTCTTACAATGATGTTAGAATAAATGAAAAGAACATGTCAGCACATGGGTAGAAATAGGGGGGCTGTTGCATGGGTGTTACAACTTTCTCTATAAAAATTAAAATCCTTTTCATCTTACTTTGCTTTTTCCAATCAAAATGCAAAGACAGTGCATTCTTTGAGTTATAACTTTTACTATTACTTTTCTCCTCTGACCTGTCAGTTTTTCTACTGGTTTGGCTCCTTCATCAGTTCCAATGCACAAATACCAGTAGAACAGCCAGTCTTCACTTGGCCTGGATCAATTACTGTACCCGTGGACTTCCCATACTTTGAAGGTATAGCAAAAAACTGCACACAAACTGAGAACCAGCCAATTAATACTATTAATATATCGATCTTAAAAATGCATGGGCTCAAATCAAATATTTTGACTACAGTGTTTGTTGCAGCATAAACAAGAAAGATTGTTCGCTACCATACAGCACAATTGTATGTTCATTAGTGTCCATATTGATACACAAACAGTCTTTATCTCTCTCTTCTTTAGATCTTCTTTTTTATCCTGATAATAAAATAAATAGCTGGGTCAATTAAGCATCAAAAATCAGTTTAAATTGTACACAATATGCATGTACATAGCTACATGTATATTGTCTCCAAGCCATTTTTGATGATCCCGTCCTTTCTCTTCCTTTTTTCTGACCTCTATGTAGCCTGTGTGGCCTGATTTTAGGGGAATTTAAAAATTTGTAAAAAATAGGAATAAGCTCAAACTTTCTACACAACATAAAAACATGGATGTGTACTAAAAAATGGAGAATTGTCTTGTTTTCATGTTCATGCTATATACTACAAGTATACACTACATGTAATTAATACTTTTCTAATTGTGGGAATCCTTTAAGTAATTGACTCACATGGTATAAGATTATTCAATACTTCACTCTGGCTTGCTGACTGAACTGTTGCTATTAGTGGCATCCCAAGAATGAAACCCAGGTCTACCACCAGGAAAAGCAGTCCATATCACATGAGAGAGATCCTAAGAGAGAACCTTCAAATAAAAAATCTTAAAATTACATGTACATGCATCCCTTTCATAATTCCGCTCTCTTCCTTTTTCTCTGACCTCTAAGTAGCCTTTTTTAAACACAATATAAGTTTCTCTCCATGATATAGGATGATGTCTTCAATATTAAAATAGTGTGTTACTGATGATAGAGATATTCGTTTCATGAAGTCCTCGTTTGATACTTCATTAAAGAGCATGACTCTTGACAGCAATGGAAAACACTCCTCCATTTTTATATCTTATTGAAATGAGAGTGAAATTGAGAAAGGACTGATTTTTTAGTACCTCTATATTAATTAATAATAATAATGATAATGATAATAATAATAAAAGATTATTATAATTAACTATCATTTTACTTTGATTTAGTCCATAAGTCATTAACCTCTATTCAATTTATTGTGTTTCATAAACTCCTGGACAGCTTGTAATCTCTTCTGAAACTGAACCCTACACAAACAAGCAAACAAGAAATAATATGCAAACAAATAAATATAGAATTAATGTACAAACAACATACATGTACATATGCTTTTGAGATAAAAATCAGCTCTATAAATCTTCTACATTATATATGTACATGTACATGTACATATTACAAATATGCCAAAAGGAAGGACATTAATATGTGTACATATGTGTATCCATTAAGTAGTACATGTACCTAGGTTACTGTGTATGAGTGATGATAGCAGCAACAGGCATATACCCATAGCACCAAATACCAAGTAACATGACACGTATTGCTAATACCCTCTCATCATTATTCACTGGTGCAATGTCACCATATCCAAATAGTGTGGTTGTAGTTGTTGACCAGTATAATGATAATATATAGTTATGAATGACTGATGAGGAGGAGCATCCAATGTTATTCATAGTAATCCAACTGGTTGGCTTGCACCTATGTAGTAATTAATAGGAAAATTCTGTTACTACTAATACTATGAATAATATTAAGATTATGGTGAGATGTAACTTAACAAGTATAAGTACAAGTAGCATTCAATGACATTATTATAACATATGTAATAATGATGTCATTGAATGCTACTTATACTTATATGACATCATTATTACATATGTTATAATGATATAAATAACAAGATGGGCCAAGTAGAGTACAAGTACATTATAATACAGTATATAGCAACTTTCAATGACATCATCATTACATATGCTTACTGCTTAGTCAGTATATTGTTGGCTCTATCTCTTACCAGGAGCACATGCTACAGTCTTACCTCTGTACCAGTAACTGATCACAAGCTATTGAGAACCAGGCACAAGCTGACCAGTGAGTTATCAATATGATGTACATTAAGAACTTAAGACCTCTAAGCCTTGATATGGAATGATGAAGTGACTTTTCTAACCTATCAAGTATCAAACCAGAGAATCCCCTACATGTACATGTCAGTAAGAAAGATTTTTGTTTGTGCAATGTACCTGTATCTTTAGCTTACCTTCCATAGCTTCAATCAGTCTATTTTAAAAGCTACAGCCCAGTTTAGTTTAATAGCAACAACACATGACTAGCTGCTAGTATCTCTGTGGTACTAAAGCTGCCACATTAACCAGGAATGTAAAGGAACTTGAATAAGCTAATGCTATAGTCATTGGGTCTCTTTCATAACCTGTAAAAAAACAACAATAATAACAAAATAACTTTGTTACCTACCTTTAGCCATGACAAATGATTTCTTCAATGATATTATAATGTCAATAACAAGTATTAGGTCAATAAGGTATCGGTGTCGGTATCAATAAACCTGGAGCATTAGAAAAACTAACTGAGTGATGGTAGCTTGAGAAACCAGCCTATAAAACAGTACATGTATAGTAATAATAGCTTTCCATTTCCCATTGTTGATTGCTTCAAATGATAAACATACATATACATGTACAACATTGTCTCTACAATTACTGACTTGAATGGATATAGCCAACACACTGTGATAATGAATGAAAATAGAATATAATTCCATATCAAGAGACTTTGATTTTGGTAGCAGAGGTTTGTCAATAATAATCAAATGTATTCTACTGATGATCAGACTTGCACATGTGTGATGTACATGTGCAGTATTGATGCTATTCAATTGTTCACAAATATACACTATACATCATGGCATAGTCTATTATTGCTGCTCTTTAATTCACCCTTTGCAATAGATACAAGTGTACATTTTAATTAAGCAAAAATGTCAGATGACGAGGTACACCATGTACATGTACATGCTATTGAAATTAATTAATTGCATCTCATGTAGCCACTTAATGATCAACAAAAAAGCTCAAGTGTAGGAAGAGGAAGAGGACATAAATTTGTAGGAAGTGGAGGAAGACAAGAAAGCACAGTTAGAGGAAGAGGAAGAAGAGAAAATAGAGGAGCAGGTAATGTCAATCACAATTTCACAAATGACTTGTCATTATTGTCAAACAGATTCAGCACATAATTATAATCTGAGACTACCTGGGGCTAATATCAATAAAGTTTCCAGAGCCAAAGAAACAGACAATTTATCTCTGCAGTCAGTAGCCACAGAAACAGACAATTTAGCTGTGGAGTCAGTAGCCACACAAACAGACAATTTAGCTGTGGAGTCAGTAGCCACACAAACAGACAATTTAGCTGTGCAGTCAGTAGCCACACAAACAAACCATCCGGTGAGAATTCCAAGTTGGGATATAATTTTATTAATCTTCATTGCTGTTTTGCTAATCCCGATTGCTGCTATAATTGGATCCGTTCTTGGATCTGATTGGAGAAGTACCAAGTGTGACCAAGAAAAAGGAATAATAATAAGTGAAAAAGATAACTACAAACAAAAGTATGAAGAAAAATCAGAGGAACATGATAAAGAGTCTGAATACTTTAATGCTACAATGAGACTCTTAGAACAGGACAAAAATTCCTCAAAAGCTGAAATCGAACAAAAGCAACGTCATCTTGAGGAATGCAGAGAAGAATTTGATAGATGCTCCAAACGAAAACAGAAGCTTGATGATGATTTGGTCGAATGCAAAAAAGTTGACGAAAAAAATAAGGAACAGTGTGCAGTAGAGCAGCATAACCAAGAGAAGAAATGCAACAGTGCTATAAGAAGATGCCAGGATCATATTAACGAAATAAATAAGGAGCTTGATAAATGTCAACACGAAGCAAAAGGTGGCAGTGGAAACCTTTCAAGCAGCAGTATAAAGCTTCTTATTTACATAGCTACAACAATTCTACTTCTTTCTCATTAACAAAATGAGGTGGTTGGATTATAATAGTTATGGCTAATTTGGCACAAATGATGTGTGTGACTTAATGTACATGTAGATGTACCTTGATACTGTAGGAAACTTGCTTCTCATATAACTTAGTATCACATTATTATATTTTGATTGTTCCATTTCTCTTTTGTAATGCTCTCCTCTCTTTTTCAACATTTCCTATAATAATAATAATAATAATAAACAAATTATAAAAAGAGATTTATGGTACTTTCTGACGAAAGGTTGGTCATTATTTCATTTAATTCATTTTTATTCAGTGCCAATACATGACAATGAGTCTTAGCAGTAAAAATTACTTCATTTGAAGTATCATCAGACTCTAAACCAACAGGATCCTGTTAAGGAAATTTAATTAGCATAGACCCTATTGCCACTCAGGCAAGCTCTGGAAGCCACAAAGGCCTCTTGCTCCTTGTTTCCCCATGTAGCTACACTGTATCTTGCCGTCCAAATCATGAGTGTGGGTGGATACTGTAATGCAATAATTACTTGCAGAAATTAGTGCCCTATAGGGTCTATACATGTACATGTACATGTATGTGCATGTAGTACACATTAATATATGCATACAATATATGCAGCATTGCTTCTCCAAAAACATCTCCTGGCTTTAGTTCCTTTAATAAATGAATTGGATCAGCTTCTTCAGCAGCCTGTACATACAAGATTATAAGTTCATTTATTTATTCATAAATCATTTACTTCAGCAGTCCGAAGTAAGGTATTGATCAGTTTCATATAATCATTTGATGTGGTAGGAAAAACAATTCCTTTACTTTAGAAGCTAGAGCATCAAACCCTCAAAAACACGGGACATTCTATGAAATAACTTGGACTAGAGAAAAAAGAGAGAATATAAACATAATAAGAGCTATTATTGTTCCTTATAATTCTTACTGCTATCATAGTGTCTTGATACATTTCATTTCTTGCATCATTCCTAAGTGCAAGTGGAAGGTCCTCTAATAGATCTTTAATTACCAATAACACCACTCCTATAACTCCACTATAATAAACAGCAACAACAATAAACAACAACAAAAACATTATTTACATTATATTCCAATTAGTCGGTAACTCTTCTAAATAATACTAAACTAATCTTTGCAATTTTCTATGAATAAAACTAATAATTATTATTTATTACAAATTAGAATTATTTTACCATATGTAACTCTTGATTGGCTGAAGTTGTTAAGTGTACTTGCCTCTTGCTGCATCAAGATTGGTCAGAGTTGAGGTCACGCCTTCAAGAATGTACCCGTACCTGACCACACCCCACACCATCAAAACAAGTGCAATGAGCTTCTCTGATAATGAAACAGCATGAATGTCACCACTGAAGAGAAAAGAAATGATGTACATGTACATTATACACAATGTATGTAGACTATGGACATACCCAACTGATGTGAGACTGCCAAGTGCTAATAGCCCAATAAAGTGAAACAATATACTTTTGAGTAATACTTGCACTAAATACATTAATATCTAGATGAAAGAGAGAGAGAGAGATAGGAAATTGCAAAGACCTATCATTATTACCTATTGCAATATTGGAACTATTAGCCCAGGTACCACTTAAGCATGAAGGAGTTCAACAGCATTATAGCAAGACAGTGAGTACAAGCAATAAACTGAACAGACAGACCAGATAGAATGACATACAGGAGAGACTGAATCCAAGGGCCATATGAGATGAAATACCTCTCACATTTAGCTATGGTACAAAAAATAAATAGAATATTCAATAGTTTAAATTGAAACTGGCTCTTACTCAAAAATTTCCAAATCCTATAGACACTGAAAACTCTGTTAATTAATCCTTACAAAAGTACCAATAACTAGTCTTTAAATATCAACGCAGGTAAATTGTAAAATGCTTGACATCAATTCTAGCAGCACTGTGGTCTAGTACAGGACGTGAGAGAATATTAAAAGAAATAGGGGAAGTCTATTGATGTACACTATTGATAGCCAGAATTTGTGATTAGCATCAAATTCAAACAATATGCTAACCCCTGTCACTTATGATGGAGAGGGTTAGAACTGACGAAGAATGGTGGAAACTTTAACTTTCAGCAGAGGTACTAGTATCTCTGCTTTCATGCAGAGTAGAGATTAGCTGATACATTATATGTTGCTCAAATTTTCAGAGATTCAAACCATCTCCTGTCCTTTGTTATAGGTTTAAAAGAGAGAAGTCTATCGTTGCCTTGCCAGCAAGCAAGCTATTCATGTGTTTCAACATCATGGCTTTTAAGCATGGTCAAGGTGTAGGCAGTGCAGCCATAGTATTTTTAACTGCCTAACTCTCACCTCCAATGAGATAAGTCTTTGTGTCTTTAGCCAATTCTGAGAGTATCCTCGTTGAGTCTCCGTCCGGGACAGGCTCACAGTATTCAGGGAAGTAACGAGTCACATTCTGGCATCGTTGCAGGCGTTGCTGGCCACCTCGCGGACCATCTCAGCTGCTCTCTGGAGATTTTTGACTTTATTGGAGCCAGGGAGACACTGAACGAGGGCTAGTCTAAACTTTTGAGCTACTGGTGTAGATAAAAATGAATAATAGAACATGTATCTTTAACTTTGGTAGCCATTCTAATGATGGGTGTGGTCAGGTTAGGGTGTGGCTGAAATCAAAATTGCAGAAATAGAATCATTGGATAACATCTATGGATCAAATTAATTTTTAAATGCAAAAACAGCAAAAAAGCAATGTTGCATGCAACTAAGTATTCGCAGCAAGTTTAGTTTATATGTCTTTCAGTTAATGTAAGCATTCTCCAGGGACCTCCCACACCAAATTACTGAATGGGAAAGTGGTAATGTTCAAATACCTATAGGAAAAAGAATGCAATGACACATTAGCTAGTTAGATTATACTTACGTAAAGTGCATGTTCCTTTGGTGTATTGGTGCTGTGTCTATGTTTTCATAGCTCTCAATTACTGGAACACATATCCTACTTTCATCATATGCAGGAGCATAATATCCATGGAAAACTCCACCACTATCTATATTGCATGTCAGCAACTCTCATTATGATTGCATATTTTCATTTACCTGTATCAAGTCTAAAATAATCAGTTTTCACTCCAAGGTTAGGTATAAAAGAGCCATATACATCAATGTGGCGGAATGTTGCATCCTCAGGTGCACTAAACCTTGGGAACTGTGCATCAGGTGGTATATCTTCCTCTGTGCATGTATGTGCATCCTCATCCAGTGTGTATGACTTCCTCTACAATGGCCATGCACTATGACATGAACACTATTCATGTACAACACTTACTGTGTCATAGAAGTACCATTTCTTTATATAGTCACGGCCATCTTCGAATTCAGCATTATAAGTGTAGTGTAGCCATTGTTTGGTCCTGTTATAGAATATGTACCCAAAGTCACTCCTCTTCCTAGCATAGTCTGCCTATTATTATCATGTTAACTTGTAAAATTGAGGAGTTATTGTGTGCAATTGACTTACCACAAGAATGTTGCCACTCCATGCATCTGGAGATTCATCTGTATAATAATAGTGAAATATGTAGCTATACTAGAAGTGAATAAGAGCTCTCACTTACAGCATCTCTGAACTGGGCCTGGCTGCGCAAAGCAATAGGCAAAGCAGGTTAAAGCAACAGCAGCAAGGAGAAAGGTCTTCATTTTTAGCATGGGGTGGTGAGCTAAGGTCAAGCTAGGCAGTAAAAATAGCACGTAAAAGAATTTGTGATATTCATTGATGCAAATCAGCACTATATGAGAAAACACACCACAATGCTAATTATATTTATGACAGCTTGTCAGCAATAAACAAACACAGCAATGCAGTTCATTGTTCTTTGTTGCATAACAATAGGAGGCTTTAGTTCCTCTCTCTACATGCAGTAGGAAGCTCCCAAATAAATGGAGGGATTGGATCAGTAGTTATATTCATGTACCTATGCATTGAAAATTATGATTAAAAAAGTATTATAACATAAAATGTTCTTACGTCCAGTGTATGTTCCTCTGATGTGTTGGGATTGTGTCAATATTCTCATAGCTCTCAATAACAGGAACACACATGAAATCAGTAGCAACAGATTCATATAGAGGTGAATAATAGCCACGATATGTTCCACCAGAATCTAGAAGGATAGAGTTACCCGAATCCCTATTATAATGTTTCATATACCTGTTCTCAATCTGAAGTAATCAACTGTCACTCCTAGGTTGAATGAGTATGCACCCAATCGATCATAATGTATGAACTCAGATCCTCGTGGACTCCCAAATGTTGGAATAAACTCATTTGGGGGAATGTCTTCAACTTCACAAGTATTTGCATTTTCATCGTAAAAATATGATTTCCTCTATAAATGCATACATTATGTAAAGAGTTATGTATAGACTCATGGCATTTATTTACTGTGTTATAGAAGAGCCAGTGTTTGTCTATATCTGGTGTCCCTATCCTTGATTCAAAGGAATACATCAACCGAAACTCAGTCCTGTTATAAAATATGTACCCACGATCACTCTGCCCACTGGAGTAATCAACCTATTAATACTACATTAATAAGGTACATTTCATGCTTTGCATACCCGAAAGAAGAAACCACTCCATGATGAAGGGGACTCAACTATACAAAAGAAATGATAAATTTAATAACTGATCCATGCCATGAAAGATTTAATTTAGCTGATTTTCGAACAAGTCACTTACAGCATCTTTGGATGGGTATTGGCTGGCCAAAGGCAACACCAGCACAAACTGCTACAGCAAGAATGACAGCAAAAAGTTTGCAAACCATTTTGGTGGAGCTCAAGAATTTTTTGCACCAAGTTATTAATAGTTATGAAGTTATTAAAATTTTTAATACTAATTATATTTATAACAGCTTGTCAGCAATAAACAAACACAGCAATGCAGTTCATTGTTCTTTGTTGCATAACAATGGGAGGCTTTAGTTCCTCTCTCTACATGCAATAGGAAGCTCCCAAATAAATGGAGGGATTGGATCAGTAGTTATGTTCATGTACCTATGCATTGAGAGACAAGATAAAAATTATGATTAAAAAAGTATTATAGTTTAAAATGTTCTTACGTCCAGTGTATGTTCCTCTGATGTGTTGGGATTGTGTCAATATTCTCATAGCTCTCAATAACAGGAACACAAATAAAATCAGTAGCAACAGATTCATATAGAGGTGAATAATAGCCACGATATGTTCCACCAGAATCTAGAAGGATAGAGTCACTCAAAGCCCTATTATGATGTTTCATATACCTGTTCTCAATCTGAAGTAATCAACTGTCACTCCTAGGTTGAATAAATATGCACCCAATCGATCATGATGTATGTACTCAGATCCTGGTAGACTCCCAAACAATGGAATAGGCTCATCTGCTGGAATGTCTTCAACTTCACAAGTATTTGCATTTTCATCATAAAAATATGATTTCCTCTATAAATGCATACATTATGTGAAGAGTTACATATAGACTCATGGCATTTATTTACTGTGTTATAGAAGAGCCAGTGTTTATCTATGTCTGGTGTCCCTATCCTTGACTCAAAGGAATACATCAACCGAAACTCAGTCCTGTTATAAAATATGTACCCACGGTCACTCTGCCCACGGGAGTAATCAACCTATTGATACTACATAAATAAATTAATTTTTGCACTTTGCATACCCGAAAAAAGACGCCACTCCATGATGGAGGGGACACAACTATAATACAAAAAGAAATTAATTTAATAACCCATGCCATGCAAAATTTAGCTTAGCTGATTTTCGAACGTCACTTACAGCATCTTTGTGGCTGGCCAAAGGCAACACCAGCACAAACTGCTACAGCAAGAACGACAGCAAAAAGTTTACAAACCATTTTGGTGGAGCTCACGAAAATTTTTGCACCAAGTTATTAATAGTTATGAAAATTTTTAATATTCATAAGCAGTATAGCAAGAATAGTAGCAATAACAGCATAAACAGCACTTAATCAGTTCAATGTTTTATTCTCTCTCTCTGCATGCAGCAGGTAGGTCCCATACAGCAGAAGGGATTGGAAAAGTAGTAATATTCATGTACCTATGAAAGATAGTATCATAGATTATAATAATCATGCATGCTTACGTCCAGTGCATGTTCCTCTGATGTGTTGGAATTGTGTCAATATTCTCATAGCTCTCAATAACAGGAACACACATGAAATCAGTAGCAACAGTCTCAAACTCAGGTGCATAAAAGCCACGATATGTGCCACCAGTCTCTATATATACGAAGATTATTCAAATTGTATATAAACTGCATTTTATACCCAAAGACATTTATACCTGTTCTCATTCTAAAGTAATCAGTTGTCACTCCTAGGTTATATGTGTATGCACCCAATCGATCACGGTGGACATACTCAGATTCACTTGGAGCTCCAAACCTTGGAATGAGCTCATCTGATGGAATGTCTTCTATACTACAAGTGTCATCCTTATCATAGTATCTGTATGATTTCCTCTATATGCATTAAAATCAAAGTCAGCTATAATCGTATCATAAGTACTCACTGTGTTGTAGAAGAGCCAATGATTCTCATACTGTGGGACGTCTACTGTTGGCTCATGAATGTATAGTAGACGAAACTCTGTCCTGTTGTAAAACATGTAGCCATGAGTAAGATGCCCACTAGAATAATCAATCTATAGATCATGTAAAGCTTATATTATGTTTTTATCTTGCTTTTTCTTACCCGATGAAAGTGGCCACTCCAAGCTGAAGGTGACTCAACTAGAACAAAAGTTAGTTGTTATTTAAAGCCTATGGCTATTATTTCGGTACTTTTTGCTAAAACACTTACAGCATCTTTGAGGTAATGGTGGCTGGCCAAAGGCAACACCAGCGCAAACTACCACGGCAAGAACGACAGCAAAAAGTTTGCAAACCATTTTGGTGGAGCTCAGCACAAAGTTATTAATAGTTATGAAATAATTAATAATTCATAAGCAGTAGACCTAGCACTATAACAGCATTAACAGCACTTCATGAGTTTAATGTTTTATTCTCTCTCTCTGCATGCATCAGGTAGGTCCCATATAGCAGAAGGGTTTGGAAAAGTAGTAATATTCATGTACCTATGCATAAAAAGACATTATCAACATTATAATAATTATCATGCATGCTTACGTCCAGTGCATGTTCCTCTGATATGTTGGAATTGTGTCAATATTCTCATAGCTCTCAATTACAGGAACACAATTGAAGTCAATACCAGAGGAATCAGTTACAGGTGCATAAAAACCACGATATGTGCCACCAGTCTCTATACGAAGATTATTCAAATTGTATATAAACTGCATTTTATACCCAATTTATACCTGTTCTCATTCTAAAGTAATCAGTTGTCACTCCTAGGTTATATGTGTATGCACCCAATCGATCCCGATGTACATACTCAGATCCCCTTGGAGCTCCATATGTTGGAAAGTACTCATCTGATGGTATGTCTTCTATTTTGCAAGTTTTATCTGTTTCATAGTATCTGTATGATTTCTTCTACAAATCAAGTCAGCTATAATTATAATGATTATAATGTACTCACTAAGTTAAAGAAGATCCAATGTTTCTCATACTGTGGGACGTCTACTGTTGGTTCATGAGCATATAGTATACGCAGTTCCGTCCTGTTGTAATACATGTAACCATGAGTAAGATGCCCACTAGAATAATCAATCTATAAATTGTGTAAAGCTTATATTATGTTTTTATCTTGCTTTTGCATACTCGATGAAAGTGGCCACTCCAACCTCCAGGTGAATCAACTATGTTAAAAAGAACAAAATTAGTTTTTAAACCTATGATTTCAGTACTTTTTGCTAAAACACTTACAGCATCTTTGAGGGAATGGTAGCTGGCCAAAGGCAACACCAGCGAAACCTGCCACAGCAAAAACAAGAGCAAAAAGTTTGCAAATCATTTTGCTTATGGATTAGCTACAGTGTAGCTCGGTTGGCAATCTTAAAATTATTCATAGCCCGCGTGTTGTTTGTGCGCATGCTCAGTAAGAGACTCCATTTGGGCAGTGAGTCTGAGTGAGAGGAGTTGAACCGTGTCTGCTGCTTTTCTTCCTATATCTACGCCAATTTTGATCATCTTTAAAGCTTAAACAAAAGTAAGGAGCTTTCTTATATATTCTAACTGTTTAACTATCATTTATCGAGTGTACTTTACTGTTTCCTTCTCTCCCCACCCTTCTCCCTAGTAAAATATGGAGGCCACACCCGCCAACATCCAAGCCGTAGCCACGTACCTCACTCACACGTTATCTGAAAACTACCAAGTAAGGAAACAAGCAGAGGATTTCCTTATCTCTGTTGAGACCACACAGAACTATCCAATGCTCCTCCTCCAAATAACAGACGATCAAACCATCGACACTCACACTCGTCAAGCTGCCTCCATTGTTTTTAAGAACTTTGTCAAACGCAACTGGAGGATCGTCGATAAAACCAGCACGATATCTGACGTCGATCGACAGCTCATAAAGACCCACATTGTCAGCCTGATGCTTAAATCCCCTGAGGCACTCCAGAAGCAGCTGAGCGATGCCATCACCATAATAGGACGAGAGGACTTCCCCAATAACTGGCCCGGACTCATTGAAGAAATGGTCGGCCATTTTAAAACTGGAGACTTCCATGTCATCAATGGGGTTTTACGTACCGCCCACTCACTCACTAAACGGTATCGTCATGAGTTCAAATCACAGGAACTGTGGATGGAGATACTTGTTGTACTTGATGGTTTGGCTGCTCCACTCACTGAGCTATTAGAGGCGACAATGCGACTAGCCTCGACCAACTCTCAGAATCCAATCGCTCTCAAGGTTTTGTTTAGCTCTCTCCTATTCATAGCAAAGATATTCTACAACTTGACGTATCAAGAGCTTCCGGATCATTTTGCCGAGAAGAACCTCGAGCCGTGGATGGTCCACTTCCACACATTACTAACGACCACAAACAAACTACTGGAGACCGATGGCGATGAAGAAGCCGGCCCTCTGGAGCTTGTTAAATCACAGATATGCTCCATAGCGACCATGCTAGCTCAAAAGTACGACGAGGACTTCTCTCCGTTTTTATCGGATTATGTCAAGACTGTTTGGAATCTACTGGTATCTACTGATGCCCGTCCTAAGCACGATATGCTTGTGAGTATGGCCATTGAGTTCCTGGCTTCAGTAATAGAGAGACCCTCTTACCAGCACCTTTTCTCTGATGAGACCACCTTGCGGACTATCTGTGAGAATGTTGTAGTTCCTAATATGAAATTCCGTGAGTCTGACGAGGAATTATTTGAGGACAACGCCGAGGAGTATCTGAGACGAGACCTTGAAGGATCCGATATTGGGACCCGCCGACACTCAGCTTCTAATCTTATTCGCGGTCTCAGTCGATATTTTGAGGGACCCATTACTACCATATTCTCCTCCTACATCTCTGCAATGTTGCAAGAGTATCAACAAGACCCTGTCAAAAACTGGAAGAGTAAGGACACAGCTCTCTATCTCATCTCGGCACTCGCCACTCGATCTAAAAACTCTCGTCACGGTATCACTCAAACGAGCGATTTGGTTAATGTGGCAGACATTTTTACAGTTCAGTGCATACCGGAGCTGTCTTCCCCTGACGTCAATAAGCAAGCCGTCCTTCGTGCTGATTCCATTCGGTTCCTAATAACGTTTCGTGGGGTCTTGCCTCGCCCGTTGCTACTCCAATCTCTCCCTCTCCTTCTCGTTCACCTCACCTCAAACAATACCGTAGTTCACACTTATGCAGCTCACTGTATTGAGAAGCTCCTCCTCCTTCGTTTAGAGGGAGGAGCTATGGCACTCCTCCCTGAAGACATTCAGCCTCACCTCGAGACACTCCTCACTAACTTGTTCAATTGTCTGAGGAAGGAAGGATCACTAGAGAATGAGTACATTATGAAAGCCATCATGAGGTCATTCTCCACGATGAAGGAGAGTATAGTCCCTTATGGAGAGACACTTCTCAAGGAGTTAGTCGCAAAGCTTGCCCTCGTCTGTCAGAATCCTAGTAAACCTCACTTCAATCACTATCTTTTTGAGAGCATCTGTTGCATCATTCGTTATAGCTGTAAAGTCAACCAGCAGTCCGCCAGTAAATTTGAAGAGGCTCTTTTCCCTATCATTGAGAGTATCCTTGTACAAGACGTAGCCGAGTTCCTGCCATACATATTTCAGATTCTGTCTCTGTTGCTCGAGCTCCGCCCTTCCCCTATTCCCCCGGCATACATGACCATTTATCCTCACCTGTTGAGCCCCACCCTCTGGGAGAGGCCTGGTAACATTCCTGCTCTCGTTCGTCTCTTACAAGCTTTCATTGAAAAGGCACCCACTGACGTTGTCGCTAGTAACAGGCTCACTAATTTACTCGGAGTCTTTCAGAAACTGATTGCATCGAAATCTAACGATCACGAAGGTTTTTACATCCTTGGTACAATGATAGAGCACATCGATATGTCCGTCTTAAGGCCTCAAATGAAAGATGTCTTCACGTTGCTGTTCAGGCGCCTCCAGTCCTCTAAGACCACCAAGTATGTGAAAAGTCTTGTCGTTTTTGTCTGTCTGTATGCTGGGAAACATGGTGGGTCCGAGCTCCTCCAATTAGTCGACTCCATACAGCCAAAGCTCTTTGCTATGCTCCTGGAGAAGGTGATAATAGCTGACGTTCAGAAGGTCAGTGGATCCACGGAGAGAAAGATCTGTGCCATTGGTATAACAAAGATCCTCACAGAGACGCCAGAGATGCTCTCAGACATGTACATGGGTCTATGGCTGCCTCTCCTCCAAGCACTCATCTCTTTGTTTGAGCTACCAGAGGAGGGCACACCAGAAGACGAGACATTCATAGAGATTGAGGAGACTCCAGGCTATCAGGCTACCTATTCTCAACTCATTATGGCCGGATCCAAGGACTACGATCCTTTCCAGTCTCTCGTACCGAATGCTAAGCTCCTCTTGGCTCAATCCTTGCATAGGCTTTCGTCGGAGCACCCGGGGAGGTTCTCAAATATGATTACTACTGGTCTCACTGATGAAGCCACTCTGTTCTTGCAGCAGTATTTACAGCAAGCTAACATCTCAACACTGCTCTAGTCTATGCACTCTCTTACTGACTAGTGTTAATACAAGTAAATGTAATGTCCACCTCTTGTATTATAGTAAACTTTTTCTCTCTCTCTCTCTTTTATTATTATTATTATTATTATTATTATTATTATTATTATTATTATTATTACTATTATTATTATTATTACTGTTAGATTAACATCAACTAGCTTGAGTTTTTGTTATCTTTTAAAAGCACACACACACCACCTGGTTTCTTACATTAGTAAAAGAAAAATTAATAATGTTGAATGAAAATGCATTTGCAGCATGTTCAGTGGCTGCTGATAATTATCATGGTGCATGAAGTAAAGTAGTACCATCTATGGTAGTACATAGCTCATTTAGCATCACTAGTGTCATCTTAGGCAAATACACTACCATTATATCCAATTAAATAATAGTAAAATTAATGTCTAAAAGTCAAATAGGTTTGTGTCTTGGGAAGGTGAGTTCATAAATCTCTTATTTCAACTTAAACTTCTCAAAGATAAAATTAAAAAATTCCTCATACATAGTTTAGGCCTATACTGTTATTTCATCTTGTAGCATCACTCACTAGCAGTAAGAGTAGAGTAGTAACCACTAGTGATCCCGGGCAGCACCACATAAAGGCTACACTACATTGCTGTCAATAGATAATAATAATTAATCATAAAAATAATAAAAAATAGTAACAAATATAAATAATAACAAAAATAAAAATAATGATTATAATTCTTAATGATAATATACATAATGAAGATAATGATAATCATGTAAAAATGATAATATTTACTACAGAATTATTATTTTGGCCATCAGAAAGGGCTATAGGAGACAAATCTCTATTTATATTACATTTGCTAGTACTGTGGTACATATTATCAATGTTTTTATGCATGTAGATGAAGCAGATTCCAATCAAAATTAGATTTTAGTATACATTTCTGGAATTAATTTTGTTTTAAAATTTCAATTGTCACACCAAGAATTCTTAAATCACAAAAAATATTAAGCAAGAAAATATTAAGCAAGATATATAGTTCTTATATTTGTATTTCTTCATAAGTCACATCATTCTGTTGTATTGTAGTCTCACCATAAGCTGGATTAATATTGATATTTAATTTATTAATATCTTCATATGCTGCATTAGGAATGGTACTGATGTGTTCCGATGAGAAAGCCCCTGTAATAATAAAGAATAATTATTCCTAATTCACTAATGTCTTACTCTTCTTGTTTTTCCTCTTAGCATATACAGCGATACTCACTGTGATTATAACTATTATAACAATAGTTGATGTTGACAATAATACTACTGGTATGATGACAGCTACATGCATAAATATATAGGTGTAATATCAAAGTGTAAATCTAACCAGTACTAGCTGTAGTAACTGTTGTGCTGGTAAGAGATGGTGTATCAGTAGGTGCATAAGATAGTGCCTCAGTAAGAGATGATGTATTAGTTGGTGAATGAGATAGTTCCTCAGTAGGAGATGGTGCATCACTCATAATAGAAGAAATTGTATCCATATCTAAGAAATACTTCTTTTAAATTGATTATGTTGGCTGCATTATCATTATAGGCTAGCATAGCTAACTGCTTTTTTACTAAAATGGCATTGATGCTATTACAAAAATAGATTGTGCTATGTGTAACTATATCTATGCATGTAGCTACCAGTATACAAAAAATTAATGTACATGATTAATTTTAGCATTAGCTTTTCTTTGAATATCAACATTAATTTATAAGCAATGTCCACAAAAGGGCAACCAACTCATTATAATATTTTATTGCAGCTTACATTGTATGTGTATTTCTATTGACTGATTGGTAGTTCTAACATCATCTGTCACTGAACAAATATAAAATCCTGAAGAATCCCGTCTAGCATTCACAATCATTAGTAGAGGCTCTTGTAGCTGGAGTAAAGTCTCAGTGCTGGAACTTGTAGCGAAATACCATGATATATTGTTAACTGGTAAGGAACTAGTGATATTGCAATGAAGAGAAACATTATCACCTTCTCTGATAATATCAGGACCATCAATTGTAATAGTTGGTGCATCTATAAAAAACAAAAAAAATATAACTAATGATAATAATGATAGCGCCAAACATGCAGCCAAATATAATTAATATGTGGCAATATTACAAAAAATATTAGGAGTCCTAGCAACTTTTTAAAATAGCCAATATTTCATAATCTACTCCAACGGCCAATATTTCATAATCTACTCCAACATTTTTCTATTCCTCTATTCTTTTTTATACCTGGGTAAGTGACATTAACAGTTACACTGCTGTCTCCATTAATAGTCCTAACTCGTATTGTATAGCTGCCTATAAGACTAGACCCCTGACCTGTTATAGCTAGAACAGTGTTGTTTGATGTTAGCATATAAGATGATGTATTGTGGATGAGCTGCTCATTATGATGCCATGTTATATTGTTAGGAGTTGGTGGAGGGTCTAAACCATCAACATAGACCCTAATGGTAGCAGTCATGATAATAGTAGAACTTTTTATTAGTATTGAAGAATTTGATGTATAAATAGCTGGATTATCTAATGGTAATATAAAGTAAAATAAAGGTAATATAAGCCAAAACAAGAGGAAGTCAACCAGATGCATTAACCCATAGATACACATACACGTTTGAATACATCACACACAAAAATGGACTATAATTACCAATGGTCACAAACACACTGTCACTAGCTCCAGTGTCTGATAGACAGGTATATAGCTCTCCATTAGTTGGACTTTGAGTGAAATTTAAGATACCATTCGAAGACTGATGAGGGGTACTGGTATTATTAAAGGTCACTGGTTCACCATTTGGATTGATCCATGTTATATCACCTGAACCTTTACACTGTATACGAAATGAAGGAGATGAAATGAAGAGAAGTAGTGATGATATGATGATGGAGATACTATTATTCTCTTGTGGGAAGTAGATAATACGTATGCCTCCTACAAAAAGAAAATCATCATCATACATAAACACACACACCCATATACAATAACCTAAAAAGGACACACACAAACAAGGTTATGATACAATAAGAAACATACATTTGAAACAGATATCATGTAAGAGGGAGACAGAGAGTATAACAGAGTGCATATAGATATATATTTACCAGTAATATTTACAAAAGATTCATTTGATTGTGAAGAATTAGTTCCATCAGTAAATCTTGCAACACAATAATACAATCCACTATCTGATACACGAGCATTGGGTACTATTAACACTGATGTTAACTATAATAATGATATTGGGAATGAGACATAGCATTATCAATAAAGCTCATTATAATGCATACATACATGCATGTTTGTCTAGCCTTATTTTGCAAGTGTTTGACAATAACTGCATGCATGATTCCCCTTGCAAATAATGACAAATAATTTCATGCATTTTCAAAAAGATTATGTATTTTACAGACTACAGTACTACACCACAATGGCTTAAACTAACCATTATATGATAAGTTACTTTGGTGTGAATGATGTGTCCATCAGGCAGTGCTGATCCGTTAGATCTATACCACTGGATGCTAATGATATCAACTGATCCTTTCACTGTACAGTTCAAAGTAAATGATTCCCATTCAATTAGGCTCAGTTCACTCAATGGATGGACAATCAAACTAAGAGCTACATAAATATTGAATCAATCAACTGTAAAAATTAAACTAAAAACTGTGACTATAGCAATCATTATAACTATTATAACATAAGTTCTAGCATGTAAATTATAATTTAAGCCTTAAAATGAACTTAAAATTTTATGGGGATCGACATGGGGTCATAAATTTAATGGTGACATGTTTTTTTAATTTTTTGAAGGCATTTGCAAATCATGAAAATGAAAGATGATAAACAGTAGATGTAACAAAACGATATAATGTCAATGTGTAAAAATATAACTACACTTACAGAGTACCATTAGTCTAGTTGTAGCTGATACATTATCCTTTACTGTTATATCATACTCTCCAGCATCAGATGCATCCACTGACTGAATGTTTAATATCCGATTATCGAAAGTAAAATTATATTTATTTGATGAGGCAGCAGTAATTAAAGCACTATTAAAGGACCATGTTATGTCAGTAGATGTGATGAATGGCTCTGATGAGACATAGAACTCAATGGAGACATTGTTACCAGCAAACACAGTGATGTTTTCATGTATAGATTGTACTGCTGGATTAGCTAAGTACATGTAAAACAACAGTAGTAGTGTAAATATATTCAATCATTTTCATCACTTTGCATATATAGCTGGACCAGGTTGCATGCACAATATAGCTACCGTAGTTATTAGCTTTTTATACAGTAACATAACAAACACCAATACATACAACAACACTTGTCTTCTCATTTTCACTTACTAGTAGTTATCATTAGAGACACTGATACACTATCATTATGCCTACATATATATATTCCCTCTCTATCCATTGCTGGAGTAAAGAAAGAGAATCTAAGGCCTGGAACCATACCAGAAAGTGTACTTTGTGATCCTCCCAAGCTAGCCCCATCTCTCTGCCACACTAAAGAGCTACCATAAGTTACTGAAGTGCAGTCAAAGTAATAGTCTGTATTGACTATATAAGTTGCTAGACCTTTCACAATTTGACTGATGATTTCATTACTCCTTAATCTCTGTCTGATGATAGGATCAGTACCTGTTAAAGTGAGAAACTAATGGATTTTAAAAATACACTACTGCTATAGATTATCTAGTTTGATTGTAAGTGTAACTCCCCACAAGTCACAATTAAGCCAATATTTTTATGTTAATGTTTGCAAACAATTATTACAAAATTAGCTTTATTTGAATCTAGAACCAAATTTAATTCGTGCAACAAATGAGATGCCAGATATTGCACCTAGATGTACATATATAGCAAAAGGGGAAACTTTAAAAATGAATTGTATTCATTAATTATTTGAATGCATCCAAATCTAACTTATAACTTATTTCAGTGCACATATGAACTCACTTGAAACTGATGAGATAATTGATAATAAGAGAAGCAATATCAAGCTCCATACATTCATACTGCCCCTTGATGAGAAGTAAAAGCATCTATAACTAGATTATAACAAAGCAGAAGAGCCCACTGTAGTGGTCAAATGGCTTACCGTATCGTTTCACTTTGACATGTTAATACTTCTCAGTGGTCATGTGACCAGCTTATAGTGTAAACATAAACAAAATGACTTCCCCTTCCTCTCTTTTGTTGCTTACCTCAGGCTCAGAGAGAGCACTCACAATAACTGCTGACGCTGTGCTGACTAGAACCTAGTCCTGCCTACGCAAACCTGGGAGAGGCCAATCAAGGATTCTCTCCTCAGGGAATTAAAGCCAGCAACTATAAGTGTCACCAGATAATAGCACTATATACTGGATACTGCTCTAGTTTGTATGTTTATTAACATATGCACTCATATTTAAGTGTACATTGCAATATACAATGCAATCAATGTACAAGTACATTGCATATGATTGGATTCATATATTTTATTATATAGTGTTGAATGTTCATGCTGGCATGGTCACCAATAGAGAGTCCTCACAACAGAGCTGATATCATTATATTACGATAGTATCATCAGCTCTCTTGTGTATTGGTGTGTATCCTATAGAGCAGCAGCATTATTATCAGTTGCAGGAGATAATTATAACAGAATCACTTATTTTTTATAGTACACCTATTACCAAGAGAGTGTCTAACTGCACTATAGTAGCTGAAACATTACTCTTGCTATTACTATGGTCACACTTTTATTGCTAAAGTCCAAAGTTTTGTGTTTTTTAATCAAATACAATTAGTTAAAGACATCAGTTTTGAATTCATAATTTATGTCTATTATCTCACAGTACCTAAAAACTGAGTGGGGTGTCCATTCCACTGGCAGCTGCTGTTTTAAAATTAGCTTTACCAAACCTGTAGTCTATCTTCACATCAATGTAATGACCTTCACCAGTATCAACCTATTATTGATAAATCATTAATCAGTACTAGTATGCTGTATTGCTATTCATACCCTGACTAGATAAATACTTCCTTTTTTGACATATTTGTAGGCAGTGAAAGTGCTGTATTTAATCTTCTGCTCAACTTTTGATTTCACCTATTTAAAAGCATATGTAATGTTCATGATAGTGTCATTACCAAACCTTACTGACGATGCTTTGCAGTGCTACACTACTGGTGGCTGAAGTTGGCTCTGTTATATCCTGTGATACACTGTCTGGTATATTTGGTACACTTTTAAGACTGGCCATGATCTCTGCTGTCGTGATGCCAACGGTACCGAAAGTCATAAGAGCCTGTATAATTTTATTGTAATACATTTGACAGTATGAATAATTAATGAGTTGCTACTTTATTTTATATTTAGTTTTCATTTAATAGTTTTACTATGAAATTTGCATACAATACACAGAACATACATATTTATCACCATAAAAAACATCAACCAGTTTAAATAAACTATAACAGAACTGCAAGCAACTGATGTCCTTGACTTTACCGGATGCGTACAGTGTTCTAGACAACTCCAGCTTCTTGTCCATTTGCTTTATTGCTTACAACAATATAGTAGCTAGAAGAATATATTCCAGAAGTTTAAAGTTGTTCCAGCAAGAAATAAGGATGCTGTGGTCTCTGAAAGTCAATGGCACATAATATGACTATAATGACAAGTATAAAATCTAGCTCTAAAAGGATTTCAAACAATTCTATTGAGGTAAAATGACTTGATTAATGATCCTGAATGTGGAATCTGTAGAAAAAAGGAACAGAACAGTCAAAATATGGCATGAAAGAATGGACCATGCAGGCTGAATCTACATTATGGATGCAACTGTCGTTCTAGACAACAGTATCAAAACAAAACTTTGCATACACAAAGATCTACTAATAGGCCAGTTGCATACCTAATTCTGAGCTGTTCTGGCCAGTCCCAGTACTATTATATACCTAGATAGTGTACACCATGTTCCAAACAGCGACAATAACAAGCAAAATATACTTACATTTCAGACTGAAAACTAACCAATTGATTCTATACCTTTTTGCTTCAAGTTTGAGTTTGCTTCTTAGAGCTATAGACTACCCACCATCTTGTAAACTGCACAAAACTAAACACAGCTTTAGCCATCACTTGGAAGCCATTATGACGTCACTTGGAAATAAAATTCACGTGAGCTTACCGTGCATCGCGACTGTCTGACTCTTGTAGTTTTCCAAGGGGGTCTAATTTGTCCTCAAATTTGTCACAGTTTTCAAGAGTTTTGGATACCACGTTGTTATAGTATACTGACTAGCATACGAATATTTTACGGATGAGCATGCGCACAATTGCTTCCCGCCAAGTTATGTAGACATATGTAACCGATCATGGCGGCTGGTAGGGACCTCTTCGCTGTTTTCACTGGCGCTTCCCGAGTACTGAACGCTGGCTGCACTAGTCTGTCCTCTGAGATACGCCATGTTGTGTCTAACTCCTCTCTCTTGTCTTCTCTTTGCTCTCCCTTTACGAACACAACTCGCTTTGAAGATTTAGACTTTTCAGATTTTGAGGATTTAGAGAGTGATTTTATACAAGACGTGTCCTCCTTCCCTCCTCCTCCCTCTGGTGCCTCTGATTTCCCACCCAATTTTGGTAGGCGTGGTTTACATACGTACCCTCGTCTTTCTGCCGATCATGCTGAGGAATCTAGCAATGAAAGAGTTAGAAGTAAAGTTGTGAGTTGGGTTGTTTTGGTGACTGTTAATTGAGTTTTGTCGTCTGATTTTTAGTCAAGAGCAAAGGAAAGAGCTGTACCGGCATCAAGAATCAACAGAATGGCAAATTTTGGAGGTACATGTATGTAAAATCAAAATTACTAGCATTTTAAAATTTGCATGATTATTGATTTTAAATTTTGATATGCATATGTATATGTACATAGTACTAACTACTAATGTGTATTTGCCCTTTGGGAAACCTTAAGAGGTGATGGTTTTATGGAGTTAATTTTATTACAGCTTCTACCCTATAGTTAGAAAATTTAGAGTGTTAAAATTTGGCAAATTGACTTTAAAAGAGGTTTGGAGGTTAAAATTTTAGCAAAATTTAACTCTGTGCATGCTTCTATGGAACTCTATCAAATTGGAGAGTAAGAATTTGGCAAATGGACCTCAATTCGCCAAAATTTTACTCCACCAAGCTTTCTAGCCATACGGTATTTCATGAGTGTATAGTGATCACTCCTGCTCTTTAAACATTGTATGTTCACATTATCATCCCTTCCTCTAGCGTTGGCGGCTAGTCTTGGTTTAGGTACAGCTGCAGAGGTGGCAAGGCGCTCTTTAGGAATGAGCAATGATGAGTTGTCCAAAAAGACTGACATACCTTTCCTTACTAAAGCAAACCTTGAGAGGATTGTTGATACACTCTGCAGGGTAAGGGGAGCTGCCCTCAAGATTGGACAAATGATAAGTCTACAAGGTTCATTTTAAAAACATTATTATTATTATTATTATTATTATCATTATTATTATTAACATTATTATTATTAACATTATTATTATCATCATTATTGTTTTTATTATCATTATTATTATTATCATTATTGTTTTTATTATCATTATTATTATTAACATTTTCTGATATGCATTGATGTACTTATGCTACGTAGAAAGTTTGAGCTCATTCAACTTAAATTTTTTGAGCTACGACCATTTTATGAAAATCTCAATATTATTATTATTATATTTAATTTCTTGTTTTATTTCTTAGATAATAGTTTTATGCCTGAGCCTATTCAAGAGATATTTGAGCGTGTGAGGAGTAACGCTGACTTCATGCCTTTCTGGCAGCTGGAGGCAAGTAGCTATTCACATTTCAAATATTATAATCATTTCTTTGATTTTCTCTTTGTCTTTTAGAAAGTCCTCATTGAAGAGCTAGGGAAGGATTGGTCAGAGAAACTAAAAGATTTTGATACGAAACCGTTTGCAGCAGCTTCCATTGGTCAGGTTCATAATGCTGTACTCCATGATGGAACTGAAGTAGCCATTAAAATACAAGTAAGAAAGAATAGTATTCTTTTTCATCTTCTCTGCATTTTTGACTACTGTACTTTGGGTAATAGTAGTTGGGGCAGGTCACATATTTATTTATATTATTATACACATTTGTATTTATTATATTATTTATATTTATTATACAAGTACATGTATTTGTATTTTCTATTATGTCTGTGCCCCAAAGGCTATAGCCAAAGTTAGCAGTTAGCCAAATTTTGCCGAAAAAGTTGCTCCAAAATTGAGCAAAAGCCCCTGTACTATAGTACAGGGTCATTGGCCAAATTTCGCCAAAAATGACTAGGAGAGAATTCTTTATTTTTTAATTTTTTTCTGATACATATGCATGTTCTTATGTTGTATAGAAAGTTTCAGCTGATTCCGATCAAAATTGGATTTTTTAACGAATTTTTAAAGTTGCTCCAAAATTGAGCATAAGTCCCTGTACTATAGTACAGGGTCATTGGCCAAATTTCGCCAAAAATGACTAGGAGAGAATGCTTTATTTTTATAATTTTTCTGATACATTTACATGTTCTTATGTTGTATAGAAAGTTTCAGCTGATTCTGATCAAAATTGGATTTTTTACGAATTTTTAAAGTTGCTCCAAAATTGAGCGAAAGTCCCTGTACTATAGTACAGGGTCATTGGCCAAATTTCGCCAAAAATGACTAGGAGAGAATTCTTTATTTTTATAATTTTTTCTGATACACATACATGTTCTTATGTTGTATAGAAAGTTTCAGCTGATTACAATCAAAATTGGATTTTTTACGAATTTTTAAAGTTGCTCCAAAATTGAGCGAAAGTCCCTGTACTATAGTACAGGGTCGTTGGCTAAATTTCGCCAAAAATGACAAGGAGAGAATTCTTTATTTTTATAATTTTTTCTGATACACATACATGTTCTTATGTTGTATAGAAAGTTTCAGCTGATTCCGATCAAAATTGGATTTTTTACGAATTTTTATGAAGTTGCTCTAAAATTGAGCGAAAGTCCCTGTACTATAGTACAGGGTCATTGGCCAAATTGCGGCAAGAATGAAAAGGAGAGAATTCTTTATTTCTATAATCTTTTTTGATACATATACATGTTCTTATGTTGTGTGTCAAGTTTCAGCTGATTCAGATCAAAATTGGATTTTTTTACAAATAATACCAGTTTATTCTCGCAGTGGAAAATCTGGCAAATCTTGCATTTATAAGATTTCATTGAATTAATCTTCGGTAATAGCTTGCAAACTCCAAGAGATGGCAGTGTAGATGCAAAATTTTGTGCTGGAAAATTTTGCCAAAACTGCAAAATATTTTACCACAAAAATAAACTGGTATGCAGTAGTACAATAGTAATTGAAAATGAAAACGAAAAGGAATCTATCTATTTATGTATTTAACGTTGATTACTAATTCTCCTCTCCTCCAGTATCCAGGTGTTGCCCAGAGCATTGACAGTGACATTGATAATCTGATGGGGGTACTAAAGCTTTGGCAAGTATTGCCTAGAGGTACATGTACATGTACAGCATTAGTAGAGTGTGATGCATTAGTAGATGTTAGTAGATTTAGTAGATTAGTAGATGCATTAGTGGGATGTTAGTAGAGTGTGATGCATAGAGTGTGGTACATGTACAGCATCATCTCTCCTGTCTCATGTAGAGTGTTTATGATCTGTTCCTTCTCTCTCTCTCCTTACTCTTCCCCTTTAGGATTGTTTGTTGATTCTGTGGTTGATGTAGCTCGTAAGGAGCTAGCTTGGGAGACAGATTATGTCAGAGAAGCACAATTTTGCACGAAATTTAGGTAAACTATGATCAGAATATTATTTCTTTTATTATAACTTTGTTATTTTTTTGAAGAGATTTGCTTCATGATTCTCCTGGTTTTGGGGTCCCTCGTGTCATACAGGATTTATCAACAAAGAGGGTATTGACAACAGAACTGATTCATGGAGTCCCTCTAGATCAATGTGTATCACTAGATCAACATATCAAGAATGATGTAATGATTGTTTTTGTTATTACATTGATTATATAGTAATTACTGTTGTTTCAAATCTCTCATTTCTTCCCCCTATCTTCTCTTATCTGTATTTTTGTTTCTGTACAATCTTTCCCCCCCCTCTCTTCTCTCTCTCTCTCTTTCTCTCTCCCCCTCCCCTCTCTCTCTCTCTCTCTCTCCCCCCTCTCTCTCTCTCACTCCATCAGATAGCTCTTAGAGTCCTTGAGCTGTGTCTTAGAGAATTATTTGAGTTTAAAGTGATGCAGACTGATCCCAACTGGTCCAATTTCTATTACAATCAGACAGAGGATAAGGTTAAGACATATTTATTGTCCCTTAGGACTAGTTTAATTGCTATGTTAATGTGTTTACAGTTTTTTCTCTTCCTCTCTCTCTCTCTCTCTCGTGTTTCCTTCAGCTGACATATCCTTGTTTTTATATTGACTGTTTCCTTTCTCTCCTTACTGTTGTTTCCTTGTAGCTGTTGTTTTTGTGTTTGTCTTTCCTTTCTCTCTCATTCTCTTAATTCTTCCTCTAATTAGATTTTTATGTTTTTTTCTTAAATCATGAAACCCCAGGCCTGTATTCATTATATTACAATAACTGCACACATGTTGGGTCTAATTCCATGTAAAAATGTATGAATTTCACTTTTAAGTGCCATGAAAATAAAGAGTTGTGGAGCATTTTTGTTTTATTTTTTTAATTTCTTTTTCCAATTATGTTAGTTGTGTCTCTCTTTTTTATTTTTTTAGATTTATTTGTTAGATTTTGGTGCCAGTCGTGTCTTCCCTAAAGAATTTACGGATGAATATTTAAAAGTACACTAAACATAATGCATCATAATGTACATGTACCTACAATGGATCCTTTTTTATTGCACCTTTCCTTGCTGTCCATTATTCAGCAAGCAAATGTGCTCTCCAATAAAATAAGCAGAGCATGTTCTTATCAGTGTTTCTCACAATTAAAGCATGCTAAGTGAGCTAAAATGTAAACTTCATGAGCTGACAATTAAGCCTTCATAGCTTGTTGAATAACTTTTAAAAATTCATTAAAAATCCAATTTTGATTGCAATTTGCTCAAACTTTCTACAGAATGTAAGAACATTATTTTTTATCAGGATAAACTATTAATATGAAAAATTTTCTCCTGGCCATTTTTGGTAAAATTTGACCAAAGACCCTTTACAGGGACTTTGGCCTGATTTTGGAGGAACTTAACAAGCGTATAAGTGTTAAAAATATTCCTATAATTGTTTCCACCACCTTGCATGCATAGCTGGGTTCTTATTAAGACTTATGAAGGTTCTCTCTACCTTCTAATGCTTCTAGAGAACTCTTTAGACAGTATCTCTATGTTCTCTTGCTGTTAGAAAGCTCATAATTTTGTCCCATGTGTAAGCCACCATTTTGTTTACCCTGGCCACACCCACTTATGTAAAATGAGTGTGGGCGGGTGGTTGTTAGGCCTTGTGTAAGTGTTGACATACAATTATTATGTATACATATGTATCTATGTATACCACACGTGGGTGAAATCAATTATAGGAACAACCTAGGGTAAATCCCTCCAAAAATTTATAGAGTCCAATTTTGATTAGATTTTGCTCAAACTCGCTACACAACATACGAACATGTATATCCTCTCCTACATGTAGTCATTTTGACGAAATTTGGTCAATGACCTGTACAGGGACTTGGCCAATTTTGAAGCAGTTCTATTGTTAATTATTTATTTATTTCAGATAATTCATGGAGCAGCTACAGGTGACAAGGATCAAGTCTTGACCAGCTCTCATGCCATCAAACTATTAACTGGATACGAGTCCAAAGTATTAATGATAGCAATGCAACTATCACGCATTCAGAATCACTCTTAAAATTATGAAGATATATACAAATCATAAACAAATACAACTGCCCATTAGTTACTATTTTATAATTCATTAACTAGACAATGATAAAGGCCCATTTGGACACTGTTATGATACTCGGTGAACCGTTCAGTCGAAATGAGGACTTTGATTTTCAAACCCAAGACACAACGAGACGAATACATCGTTTGATACCACTGATACTGGAGCACAGACTGACCCCACCACCTGATGAAACATACTCGTTACACAGGTAATACTCCCCCTCTTTCTCTCTATCATCAAGACTGGGGCTTCTCAATATTACGCTAGTCCTGACGTTACGTTGATGCTGGAATAGAATCTGTTTCTATTCTAGCGGAACGTATGCGTCAGAAGGTCAAATCGCCCACGCTTTTGATTAAAATTTGACGGTACATTGGCCTAACGTCATATTGTAAACCAGCCTTAGAACTCTCTCTCTCTCCCTCTCTCTCTCTCTCTCTCTATATATATAGAAAAATGGCTGGATCCTTTCTCTTATGTACAAAGCTAGGGGTTGCCATTAACTGTCATCCAATGTTTCAGAAAGTATACAACAATTACTCTTTTTGACAAACAGATACACACACACGGGCACATGCATGCACAAACCACTTAATTTTTCACATCTCAACATGTACTTCCTTCACTCTAGTATTCTATTTATTCTCATTATGTCCAAAAATAAACTATCACGTATTAGTACATGAAATCTGCTAATCCTGCTAACTGGGTTTGTCCGGCTTTAGCGAAAGCTGTTGCGCAATGCGCCACAAACAAGATGGCAATATCTAGAGATGAGTATGTAAACATGTCTTCATAGAAACATTTTGCAGCCGCAATTGGAGCGTAGGTGTGTGTCAATGAAGCTGCACAAAGCCTGATAGAATCTCTTATCACTTACCCGATAATGAATATCAATATTAGCACTCTTTTTCGATAATTAGCGTATTTCTTCGTACCACCAAATAAGGAACCGCACTGTTCTTTCTCATTCTCACTCCCTCTCTTTCTCCCCCCCTCTCTCTCTCTCTTCCTCCCTCTCTTCCCTCCTCTCTCTCCCTCTTCCCTCCTCTCTCTCTCTCTCTTCCCCCCTCTTTCTCCCCCCTCTCTCTCTCACTTCCCCCTCTCTCTTCCCCCCTCTCTCTCTTTATGACAGTTCTTTTGTGTTTTTATCATCTTAAATTAAAGGCCCAACATTATAAGATACTGGAATTGATTTGATTTCTATTCCTGCATTGTGTACATTATCAAAAGGCCTAACAACTCATAGGCAATATCCAGTATGTCAGCCATTATTCTTCAATGCAAAACAAATGCCGCAGCTTTGTTGTGTAGGTTTTATTTAATAAATAAATGAAAAGTTTTTGATTAAATAAAATGGATTTAAACAAAGAAAACATGAGTCAACAAGAAAAATAATATCAAAAAACACAACAACTGAGAATATGGAAAATAGTACATAATAACAAGATATATATATATGTGTGTGTGTGTTCTGTGATGTAATAAAATTAGAGAGAGACTAGAGAAGACAGAGAGAGGGAGAGAATAGTTTATAGTGTTTCCCAGATTTCAATCAAGTTATCAAGGCCGAAGAGATAGCCATCTTCGTGATTACCCTCCTTCCATTCATCTTTGTGATTGAGGGTAATGCCACTTGGAACAGGGATGGTTTTACCAAAGTCAATAATGTGGACGGAGGCCTGGTCGTTTGAGTCATACACAAATAATAAAGAGCTTCCAATAACCTGTAAAATAACAAATAAGGAATATAAAAGGATGTTTTGATTTTGTAGCCTCTACGGGGAGACCGACCCTGTGGATGGTTTCAGTACCCCAGTGGCGTAAACAATTAGTGTGAATAAAGGCTCAAATTGGTTTAGTTACCACCTGCTGCTTTAAGGGATATGGTTACAAGTAATTACCTCGTGCTGTTTGAAGAAGTCTGATCTTTCTATGCAGGCTCTCATCTGTTTCAACTGCTCCAGTATCTTTCTCTACAATTAGAAATAGCAATAATAATAAATACATCTATCCTTATTTCTTTGTTAATTTAAATACATACCCACCCACCCCTCTTCATCTCTCTCTCTCTCTCTCCCTCTCTCTCTCTCTCTCCCTCTCTCTCTCTCCCCCTCTCTCTCTCTCTCCCCCCCCCTCTCTCTCTCCCCCTCTCTTTCTCTCTCCCTCTTTCTCTCTCCCTCTCTCTCCCCCCTCTCTCCCCCCTCTCTCTCTCTCTCTCTTCCTCTCTCTCTCACCTTTGGCTCTTGTTTCTTTACGAATTTCTTAAGATGTTGCCGCACATCCTCGCGGCGTCTTACAGTCTTGAACTCCTCTTTCATTGGCTTGTCCTTTGACATCTATCACGGCAACAGAAAGCATGTAACACCAGCACAAAATGAACAATGAGCACACACAAATAATCTTCTGCCAAAAGAGGCAGTCATGCTAAAATTCAATTCTTTCTCTCTTAATTTCTATTATTATTAATAACTGCAAAAGATGTTTACAGTTATTAATAATGCAGAGTACAGCATAAATAAATAAATAAATAGCAGGGGAGACAAAGTACATGTACACATACATACCTTGATGCCTTCAATTCTGAACCCCAGTGTAGCAGTAGAGGAGAGTGTCTCCCTCCAGACCATGTAGCGTGGTTTAGTGATGGCTTTAGCAGCATGCTCCTGCTCGGTAGGCTCATCTGGATCAACTGCTATCATCTTCTCATACATATCCTAAGAGAGAGAGGGAGAGAGATGTAATAATGAAGCTTTTATCGATATATATTTACTTTAGAAACAGCTAATTATGTATATATATGGCATGCAGTGTGTCCATACATTGTTAAAATTATCAAATTGATCATAGTAATTATATACATGTACATAACCGTGTACATGCATTATCGTTGCGTTAATTATTTTGCTGAGATAATATAAATCAACTTGGCAGGCAGTCCATTTATTATTTACTCCATACTCCATAGTCTTCTCTCTCTCTCTCTCTAGCTGGCCCTGTGTAGTGATAGAAGCCGCACACATGTAGTTTTATTAGCCCTGATTGTGTAAACAGGCTATACAATGCAATTAATCTCTTTAAAAATAACACCTAACACAAATAAGATAGTATATGTTAATTAAAAAGGAAACAGGACTATCGTCATTCCTTAGCAAGTGACGAGTAGTCTACAATGATGATGAGAGAGAGAGAGAGAGAGTAAGACAGACAGACAGACAGACTGAGTGAGTAAGTGAGTGGATGAGAGACTCATTAGAGGGGAAGAGAGAGAGAGAGGGAATGTCTGCCCATAAGTGACTGCATGATGTAAACTGAGACATATTACATCACACCACCAACACACTCTCATAACTATAGACTGTGTATAGGCTTATAAGCATAATAATTATTGTAATGATTATCTGAGTGTGTGTGGGTCTTTATTTATTTATTTATCAATTAGTAATAACAGATACCAATAGCTGCACTGTATACAATGCAGGAAAGAGGATATTAGAACATCAGTGTGTGTGCACTAGCAGATACACACACACACACACACAATGCAGAGTACAAAAAAGAGAAAGTTCATTAAGACTGGACACTGTTCAGGAGATATGGTTTCAGAATACAAACTGCAACTGATATCATACTACGTCAGTATCATAATGTATACACACACAGGGGACACTGAAACCATCAGAATTATAATAACATCAGCAATACATCCACACACACAATACATAGATGCATAGTGAACTATAAAGTTACAGATCGCCTTCTGTTACTAGGAAGCCTTTGCCCTTTGGACACATAAATGTATATCAATCAAAGTTCAAGCATCTTTCTCTCATTCTCATTAACTCTAGAAATTTTAGGTGACATCCCTGCACATACCAGCAGTGTTCATGTACATGTATGAGTGTGCATGCAAGTCAATAAACAGGAAGGATAAGAGGCAACTTGCCAATTGAAAACTCAACAATAAAAGACTAATTGTGCCTTTATCGTAAACAACGCTGGCCATGGAAATAAGCCAAGAACACGAAACAACATTGAATGCAAGCAAGTATCGGAATTATGGGATAAAATACATGTACATGTACATTACTTACTGGTCTGAGTACTTCTTTGACTCTTGCCTTTGCAAGCTCATCTTCCAAGTATGTACTATAAAGGAGGGAAGGAGATAAAGTGTATAGCCATTGAGCGCCTGGTGGGGTCTTACCGTGTGCCCATCTTTATGTCCATTACAGAGGGATTGTCAAAGTCTCTGAGAAGATCAGCCATTTCTATGTACACTGGAAGAAAAAAAAAAGAAGGATCATGTTATTAGCATAAAGAGTTAAGAGTCTATTACATGTAGGTAATTGCTAAAGTGAAGCTGAAAATATACACACACTGTCAGTCTGTCATAGACATAGCATGCAAGGATGCACTTCATTAGGCCAACAAAAGAGGGAGAGAGAGAGGGGGGAAGTGAATCTTCACACCTCAAATCAATCCTTCCATCTAAAGGTCATAAAACTACACAGTACATTTGAAACACGGGCAGAGAAAGAGAGAGGGAAGGAGAGGGAAAGAAAGCTTAGAGAAGTACATGTATTAAAGAAATTCCAATACAAAGCTAAAGGTCAGGAAATGCACAAATCTAAACAAAGACACCACCTCCACATCATCAGTGTGAGCTAATCCATGGAGATACTCCCCCCTCCCTCTCACTGAAATAAATGCTGTTTATTATAACTTTGCTTACATTCTGCGTCCCTTGTGTATTCTCGTCTAAACTCAGGGACATATGGTCTAACGACGTCATCCATTAGAGATTTCAAAGCCCTGGCTTCGTCTGCAGAGGATTTCTTGATAATTGTACCATTCTCCTCACCAGGACTGAAATTGCCTGAGGATAAGAAAGAGAGAGAGAGAAAGGGAAAGAGAGGGAGGGAGGGGGGAAGTAGGGAGGAAAGGAGAGGACAGAGAGAAGAGAAGAGAAAGGATGTGAGTAGAGATTATAAAGAGGAAATTGAGTGCACTAGTTATGATATACAGCCCACATCTACATGCAATAGTGTATATACAGTACTGGAGACTATAGTGTGCAATTACAGTCCATGTACATATATGGAGAGACACAACTGTCTGTCACTAAAGGAATAATAGGCAAATGTATAAAAAGGATCTTAAGAGATGACATTTCCTGTTGCAAGAACAATTCCCACCCACCACATCCTCGGGCAGACACACACACACACACACACACACACACTTCCTCTCTCTTTCTCAATATCTCATATATAAACATTGGATCACAGTGTGGGCATACATACCTTGATGGCCTGCCAGCTGGACCCATGGATACTTCTTACGATAGACTTGAACAAAGGGAGACCACGCAACTGCCTTTCTTATAACAGACCACTTCTTGAATGAAAAGATAATGAGACAAGAAAAGGGAGAGAAAGAGAGAGGGGGGGAAGAATAGAGATAAAGGAGGGAAGTGTACAAAGGAAGGAGAAAGAGAAAGAGAGAAAAGGGAGTCATTTGCTTGCAGTGTCATGTCTTGTTGACAACAAACTGATAAATTTTATTATTCATATGGATGGATATGTTATCAGAACCAATATTTACACAATCAGCAACCCTCAGGTAGTGAATATCATTATAATAGGCAACAGTATACATTCCTTGCATCATAAATTCCCACACACAAACAGAAACAAGAGTAAAAGATAAGAAAAGGTATTTTTCCAGAAGCCAATCTCATAGTAGCTGCATAATGTACAAATGTACATGCATTGATAATAGCTTCCCCTTTTACTCCTTTTCCTCCACCATATACATACATAGTACAATTAATCTACATGTAACATAAGGTAAATATATAAACAGATTAAGAAGTTAATCAGTGCAGTCTCCAGAGACAGGACATTTTATAGATCATTAGGGCTAACATGGTAAGTGTACATACTTGATGTGCTTAAAGGGAATAGGTGAACATCATCAAAATAAACAGTTGTTTAAGTAACAATGATAACTATTACATCATGTAAAGACACATCTAGAGTACATAGGCTAATGGCAAAAAAAGAAATAGTGACAGAAAAGAGGAAGAGGCGAGAGAAAGACAAACAGGCCAAGGAAATGAAAGGCCACAAGTATAACATATACAGACAAATGAACTGAAAAACACAAAGCCATGTACATGTAATGATTAATTATGGAATAGAGCTACTGCATATGCACATGCACATGTACATGTATGTACTTGCTGCTATACCGTCTGTTTATATGTAAATGTAGGATGTAGATCCACATTAATAGCAATCTGGACTAACACAGGAATATGTGGTTTATTCTCTAGTGACTCATGGTAATCTTATCACTGTTAGACAGTTTACTCTCTCACTATGACAAGTATAAACACTATCCTTTCATTGGCTTGTATAGGAATCTTAACAGGGCAGATTCTCCTGCTCCTCTCAGCAGAGCATGTGGCACAATAGCTCTGGCATAATGTCACACTTTCCTATAGAGCATCCAGTGGAGAGGGTACGGTAAGGATGTAACAACAAGTTGAGAAAGATCCGTCAACATTCATCAGCTAAACCACCTTGTGCTCCATTACAATGGGACTATAACACACATAAATACATCCACTCTCTCTCTCTCTCACTCTCTTTCTTTATTATGCATTCCAATGAAAGAATGTAATTACTGTGTTAATTATCTAAAGGGGAATAGATTAAACGCACAAACACACACACACACTTGTGTCTTGGTACCATTCATACAAATAGACAGAACAGGAACAATAAGAGGAACATATTAGAGATCAAAAGACGATGTATGTGTGTGTGTGCGTGTGTGTGTACATGTACGTGACAAATAAAATACAAATAAATGCACAATAAAGATATAATTAAAGGTACATGTGTATGTACAGTAGTAGTAGCACTGCTACTGTTCTATAGTACATACATGTAATGTGGAAGTGAGAGATTGAGAGAGAGAGAAAATGTGTGAGTATGTGGGTGTGTGTAATCATGCTCCTGTGAAATGCTTTTAGACAATACACTAGAACTAATCAAGTAGCAATGAATTCCAAATTACCTTCTTCTTCTGTTTAGGAGGTTTCTCTTTGGTGGGTATAGTCAGGACCTGCTGTGGAGTTGGAGGAGAGTAATGAGAGGGGCTGGAAGGGTAATCCGTCTCTATAAAGTCATCACCGTCGGTGACAGGGGGAGAAGAGGAGAGGGTGTCATCTTCAAGATGGCAGACAAATTCCCTGCTGCCAGTGATGCTGCTTGCATTAGAGAGAGGAGAGAGGGGCGACTCTTGGTCTGATATACAGGACTCCTCATCACCACTTGGAGACAATAAACTACCAACACCTGTGAGAGAGAGAGAGATCAGAGAGAAAGAGATCAGAGAGAAAAAGAGGAAGAGATGATGTCAAATGTACTATTAGATGTATAGGTACATATATGTATGTGTACATTTTATCCCTCATTATTATACAGGATTACATTACATAAAAACAAACAGAGAGCAGTGTACTGATAATGTACATTGTGTGCACACAAGTAACCAAAATTGGATCTCATGTATTGATAAACAACACTTAGCACTTTCTCAGTATAAAGGTTATTGTGATATAAACTCTGGTATCAATAAAGGGTTGCCTTGACATAAGCTCAATGGAATGATATGGAAATAATAAATGTGCACTACATGTGCCAACTGAAAGGGAAAGAAGAAAGAGAGAGTCTAAAAGTGATATTTAAAAGGATATGGGCCAGCCAGGAGATTAAGATGCCGTAGGCTAGTGATTAAAGAAACCACTTGTACTTGTACAATAATGGGAACTCTCTCTCCCACTCTCGAATGCACAAAAAGAGAGTTGTCATGGCAATTATATTGCCATGACAAACATGCTTACTAAGTGCTGCACCTGATGTTATGGTGGACGATGCTGCAGAGAGATGGCTGGATTGAGAGGTCTTTCTAAAGATCCCTCCACAATCTTCTTGATCAGGTGAGACAAGGATGGTGGGAACTGTGCAAGGGAAGGAAGAGGTAGGAGGCTTGAGCTGTCCTGGAAGTGAATCGACTTGAGTTGCCTCTGGCCTGAGTATGGGGACACTGTCTTTATGCTTAGCATCGTCAGCAGAAGAGTTAGAGGAAATGGAGTCACCATCAAGAACAGGAGAGGAACTGGCACTCTTGATCCTCTCATTAAGAGCACGAGGCCTGTTCTTCTTCTTGCGACTGAATATAGGAGAGTGTGGTGCCCATCTTACTGTCCTAGTAGGTGAAGTTGGGCTAGGAGTGTCATCGTCAGAATAAGAGTAGTGTCTCCTCGAGCTGCTTGGCTTTGGTGCCAGGAGCTCGGGGAGTCTGAGGCTCTTTGTGTTAACTGGCGGGGCAGGTTCCCTGAGAGCGACAGACATGGTAGAGTCCAGTGTCTGGGCCAAGGATGCCATGACCAGCGAGCCTTTCATGTCCTTCTTCTTTTTCCCCAGTGGTGAGCGTGGCCGATCAGTGCCGGTAGCCATTTTGCCTTCTCTACTGAGAGCGAGTTAGTTCCTATCGCTTTGAAACTCTAAAGTAGCTTTAAATGTACTTGGAAAGATCTCTGGCTGTCTTAGAACGCTTCTTTGTGGATTTTAGCTGCTCGTACTTTAACTTCTTTTCACTTGTCTTTTCTCTCTCTCGACACCTCTCGCGTCCAATTAAATATGTTTGCCAACAGACACGCCTTTTTCACCTTATAAGGCACCATTTCCTTGTGGGTGTGAATAATTTTCTCTTTTTTAATTAAAATTCAAATTTTGTGTCAACAAAAAGACCACAGCATCATGTACTGTGTCAATCAGAACCTCAAAATAGTAAGAAAAACCAGTCTCTTAATTGCTCAATGTGTGTGCAGTGTATTTAGTTATTTTATTGTTCCATTTTTTCATGCTCATCCAAGATACTTTATAAACCGTAATCTGTTACTAATGAGGCTTATCATAAAACATAACTGCTAATTATGATTGTTGACAATAAAGTAGCCTAGTACATCATTCCTGAGATAATTGTGGGTAAATGCATGCACTGCGGGGGGAGTAGTGTGTATGATCATGGGGAAATGTGATGTACTCTCAGCCAAGTATGGCGGATAGGACAGTACATGGTTCAGAGTATATTTTCAGAATTTTGACAATTCCTAATAAAATGGCCGTAACTCGAAAAATTGGAGTAGGAATCAGCTCAAACTTTTTGCATTGCATAAGGACTTCAGTATCTATCAAAAATGTAATGCAAATTTTGAGTGATTTTGGAACCATTTTTTGGAAAAAACCATGGACTATATATAGTACAGGGTATGTTTTAGAATTTTGGCATTTTATTAAAATGGCCATAGATAAAAAATTGAGCTTGGAATCAACTAAACAGCACAAGTAAATGCAAGAGTAAATAAATATGTATCAGAAAATGTAATAAAAATTTTGTGGATTTTTTAAAGAAAAAAGCACAGGTTATGAGTACAGGGTATTTATAATGTAGTCTAGAGGAGCATTACGTATGAACATTGCTAAATAACTGTGATCGATGTATTCTTCCTATGACATCATTCATTGCCTAATGCTCAGTTCAGTTATTCATTTCAGTGTATTATGATAGGAACTAATAACAGGAAATGAACTGTTTGTGTATGCTTTGCTCGCTCAACTACAGCTACACTTTTACAGTTTATTTAGTTTAGGTCTACCATGACCCATCACATGCACCATGCATGATTCAATTCATTCCATTACAATACAGTGCAGTACAAAAGTACTATTACATCAGGAATATCATCTGCAGGCTAATGTATCAGGTTAATGACCTGCTAGCTGATGCAGACAATTAAGCAATAGAATGCCTTCTGGCTACAAGCTCCCAAATGGCTGGACTTGCCAGTGGGTACTAGCTAAGCAGTTGTGTTTTCAGTAGTAATTATGATCCCATATTCCCAAAACTGCTGGTACTACTATGCCAAACCACACTCTAAATATTAATCCCTGCTGCATGAATGCAATGAATTAAGAATATCTCATTCATGACCTAAAACAATTCATGTGTTCGGGGAATGAAAACAAAGGGACTTACAGTGTCAAAGGATTACAATGTTATGAATAGCCACATTGCTATGTATGTTTGTTTGTTTCAATAGAGACCTACAGTTATTGGGTTCCTCTCATCAATGTTTATCATTGTAGCTGTCGTGTTGTTGGATACAATTTGATTTGTGTATGGTACTAATTAGATTTTCAAATTTGACTTTTGAAAGATGAGAAGACATACCCATAGTATAGATCTATCAAAAATTATTTCACCAACCCATAATGCTGCTTTATATTCATGGCATTTAAGTCATGATAATTATTCTATGGTTAATGTAGTAATGGTTAGTATTACACTGCAGAGGCGTATGGAGCAACTTCTAAATAAGGAAATCTCCACAAGGAGCCCCACCCTTCCTGAGCCACGCCCTTGACATTCTTTGTAAGCAATGATGATGACCTTTCAGTTCTTTCTACTGATTGCCTTATCCTTTAAAGTAACTATTAAGCCAATACACGCTATGATTTGTCTTCGTTTTGTAGGTAGTAAGCACCAATACTCTTCCAACAAATGAAGAATATTTGAATATAACTAATCTTGACGAGATATTGCAAGCATTAGAAAAACAGAATTTTGAAGTAGCTAAGTGGAGAGACCTGTGTCTTGTTCTTGGGATATATAAACCTACTCTGAATGGCATAGAGGCTACTAATCAGCATCATGGTGTGGATCGTTGTCTTCAGGAATGTTTGAGCTCTTGGCTGTCGAAAGCTGATAAAGTGAAACAGAAAGGTGGTCCCACTTGGTACTCATTGATAGTTGGACTTAGAAACATTAAAGAAATTAATACTGCTGATAAAATTCACAGAAACAGTATATTTATGCCAATATTATTTGTTTATTCAGTCATTCTTTTATTAGAGCATTCACAAGAGCATCCTGCTTGTGAGATTTTTGAGCGATATACGTCAGATTCATCTATTCAGAAAAATCTTCTTAGCCTAGTCAACCTCCTCTATGGAGAAAAAATAGTAAAAAAGGTACTATGGCCTAAAGATGGAAGGGAGTTACTACAACACATTGGAAATAGCATTTGTGTAAACTATCAAATTCTTGAAGCTTTTGGAGTTGTTTTACAACAATCACCTGTCACTATGAGTATAGGTCGTAATATTTTAAAGGAATACAGTGAGTAAAAGAAAAACAAAATTTAATTATCATTTACTTCTTGTTAAAACAGAAAGAAGATTTCCTGAAAAAAAAGACGTGACAAGTAGCGACAATAAAAGTAATAGAATTATCAAAATGTCTGCAATATCATTCTTTTCGTTGTAGATGTTCATTTCGTTGCAAGTTCAGACTTAAATTTTACTAAACTAAGAGGAGAGTTTGCTGATGCAATTTTTGACATAAACCAGGCTATGATTGATAAGCCTAGTTTACAAGAGTTGTATCAGTATCTTCGTTGGGGTTACAAACACCTCCGTCCTCACTTGCGTGACTGTGAAAATAGAGCTGATATTTTAAACCTGATCAGTGAGCATAGTTCATTAATAGACATTGGCCTACTGGAATCCATTGTCTTCAAGTTCAATATTGAGGAGGCTAAACCAGCAATCCAGAAGTACAAGGAAAATGTCAATAAATTTCGACAATCACTTAGACATGTTTTAGATGAAAAATTCTTTCATCGTCATCTCCTTCAGTCTGAAACAATTACATTTTCTATTGACCAGGATGTTGATGGTATTACTTTAAAAGATGTGGAAAAATTGATAAAAGCTGCTTTCAAAGAGCATGCACCTTGTATTAGGGTCCATGTTATCTCAGAAAGCAATTCTTTTACAGTCACATGTTCCTTTCCTTTACTTTTGTATGAGGAAATTAATCTAGCTGCTATGGAAAATATTGAAGCTTTAAAGGAAAAAGGATTACAAAGACTGACCATTGGTTTTAACACAGTCTATGACAAAGTAAAGACAGATAATTATAAGACAAAAAACAATAATAATTATTATTATACCATCATAGGCTTGTGAACAACAGTTAGATACAGAAGATGACCACTGCTCCCAATCAATACACAGTGGTAGACTGGAACAAATGGCAATCTATATCAGTGTGAAACAACTAAATGAAGCTCATGATAAAGAGGATCATACTAGCACGAATAGCTGTATGTATTAATGTATAATTTTTAATAATTATTGTGTCGTACAGATCTAGATATGGTGTCTAGTGTATCATCATGGCTGCTAATTCTTCTAATATTATTCATCACAACAATTTATGTGCTAGTCAAGCCAGTACTCACAGACCAAAAGAGGGAAGCAAAAAGTACACAGGAGACACTAGATAAAGAATCCCAAGCACACCTACAGACTAATATTGAAGAAACAGAACAAGCTCGTGATACAAATGACAAAGGTATACATCAACTAAATCTAGCATAACTCATACACTATTTGTAGAACTTAAAAGATCAGATTCAGATGGAGCTGATGCTGCCCCACACACTTGGAGGCATTTTAAACGTGCACCTAAAGAAGTGATAATCATTGGATCATTTGGGAATCATGAACAATGGAAGCTACCGTTAGTAATAATTTGCATTATTTTATTAATTATGATTTTTTAGAGGAACAATTGTTTCACCAAAGTTGATTCCTGCTGGTGTAGAAGGATTCTATGAAAATTGGATTGTGCAGGAGGTTGAAAGCATTGTTGAAATTTATAAAAAAGATCCAGCAAACTATGAATTGAAAGACATTCCAGAAAAGGGAGAGTCAAGACAGTTTTATCTTGATAAAATTAAATCATTATTTGAAAACTGTAAGAAGGATGAAGGTAAGAAATATTTTACAATAAGATCATATTTTAAACTTTATTTTAAAGCTCTCATATATTACACTGGTCATGGAGAGAAGGACACTGGTAACTGGTGCTTTGAAGATGGAGTAATATCATTCAATGACATCTTTGAATTATACATGATGCATTTCAGGGGTAAGTCTCTACAGATAGTGTCTGATTGCAGTTATTCTGGAAAATGGATACACGACTGTGGCAAAAAACTAGACGAATATGGAATACTGTCTTGTGGACATAAAACCAGAGAACAAAAAATGCTATTCAAAATTTTCACGTCATGTCTACCTCATGAAGAAGCTACACTACTCACATACAGTAGAAAAGGAATAAGATACAGCGAAGAAGATAAAGGTGTCCTCATAAAATATGACGAAGAAATAAAGATGGAACCAGCTCAAAAAGGACAATACCCAATGCATGTCGACTTCAGACACATCCACTGCTACAAGATGCCTGGAGACCAGTGTGAATTGGACTCTACCTGCACTTGGGAGGATCGTCTTTGCAAAAAAAGAGAGCGAATTGTATTCCTGGTTGACAATAAACATGACAAGTTTCCCAGTTGGTATTATTTGCTAATTTCTGGAGACACCTTTGATGAATTCAAAGGTAAGCAGGACCAGGAAAGCATTGGGGTTGAAGAAGCAACAAAATACGGCAAAGTCTTATACTCTGGACCAGGACAGAATCCTTCAAGTGATGTGAAGAAAAAGCTTAACTTGAGATTTGATATGAACACTTATGCTTCATACAAATTTACTGATTGCTGATTTTTATATAATTTTATTAGATCATACAGTACAATTAGTACATAATTACAATTAGCATAAATACATTAATGTGTATCAGAAAATGTAATAAAAATTCGGGGTGTTTTTGGAGCCATTTTTTGAAAAAAAAACATGGGCTATATTCCTGGTATTGCAAGGCTGCAAAAGTCATGGCAGGCATATTGTTTTGAGGTGAATCAGAGAATTTTGGCATTTTTAAACTCAAAAAATTGAGCTCGGAATCTACTCAAAAGTTTCTACATAGCATAAAACATCAACATGTATCAGAAAAAGCAATAAAATTTTGGGTGATTCTGAAAAAAAGCATGGGTTATAGTACTGGGTATTTATAATGTAAGAGGAGTTTTAAGTATGATCATGGTTCTTGCTATGACATCATCCACTGCTCAATGTTCAGATCAGTTCAGTTATTTATTTTCAGTGTATTATGATAGGAACTAATATGAGGAAATGAACTGTTTTTGTATGCTTTGATCACTCAACTACAGCTACACTTTTACAGTTTATTTAGTTTAGGCCTACCATGACATAGTATTTCAGTGAATTTAAAAAGTACTATTGTTATCTACAGGCTAATGTATTAGATCCTGTTAGCTGATGCAGACAATGAAACAATAGAAGAATGCTTGCTGGTTGTACAAACTCCCAAGTGACTGGGCTCACCAGCTTTGCATAGGCTGGTACTATAGCTAAGCAGTTGTGTTTCCAGTAGTAATTGTGATCCCATATTCCCAAAACTACTGGTACTATGCCAAACCACACTCTGAATATTAATCACTGCTGCATGAATGTAATGAATTAAGAATATCTCATTCATGCCCTAAAACAATTCATGTGTTCAGGGAATGAAAATAAAGGGACTTAGTCTACCAAGTTACCATGTCAATTAATTTTATGAATATGTAGATCTATATTTGTTTGTTTCAATTATTTTCTTTCATCAATAACTGTCATTGTAGCTGTCCTGTTATTCGAAACAATTAAATCTGTGTATTGTGATACTGCTATTTAGATTTTCAAACTTGACTTGTAGAGGTTGAATATTTAAAACAATGCATAGCATTCCAAATAAGGACATTCTCCACAAGGAGCCCCACCCTTCTGAGCCACGCCCTTGACATTATTTGTTCTATGGTTTTCAAAAAATGATGACCTTTCAGCTCTTCTTACTGATTGCTCTATCCTTTAAAGTAACCATTAAACCATTGGATGCTATGTTATCTTCATTCTGTAGGCAGTAAGCACTTATACTTTGCCATCAAATAAAGAATATCTGGACACAACTAATCTAATTGATGTACATAAAGCATTACAAGATCATAATTTTAACGAAAATAACTGGAGAGCCTTATGTCTCTATCTTGGATTGTATGTCAATAGATTAGACATAATTGAGAAAGATCATCATAATGTGGATCGCTGCTTGCAAGAATGTTTGAAGTTCTGGTTGTCACAAGCTGATGGGGCCAAGAGCCCCACTTGGTTCTCATTGATAGTTGCTATGAGACATATTGGGGAAATCACCACAGCTAATGGAATTGACAGAGAGAGTGAGCTTTTAAACTGAAAAGTATCGGTTCAATTTATATTTGTTTTTTTAGAGCATCCTGCTTGTGAGATTCTTGATCGATATACATCTGACCCCACTGTTCAAAGAAACTTACTTCGTTTATCATATTTCTTGCAATCAGAAAATATAATAAGTAAAAAAATATGGTCAAGTGGAGAAAAGCTGCTCAAAGATGTTAAAAAAACCATTTGTCAAAATGATCAACATCTCAAAACTTTTGCAGATATTCTTCAAAGGTCAGATAGAACTGAGAAAGTAGGGAAAGCTATACTGAATGAATACAAAGAATACAGTAAGTTAAAGAGGCCACGGTTTGAATTGTGTTATATTATACTCTTCTATACAGAAGAAGAATGCACCAATGAAGATTATAAAATCACTGCAGAAAAGGGTGAGTAGCTCTTATGCATGACTTAATAATATCTAATAATAGGCATTCACTTGGACATTGTGAATTTTACAAAAGTGAGAATGGAGTATGCAGCTACCTTTGATGCTATAGATAAAGTTATTGCAAGTGATACTCCTTCCCTAGCAGAGTTACGAACTTTTTTGCGACGTGGTCATGGGTATTGTAAATTGACATCCCAATGTGAAAGTATAAAAGACATCTTTGACTTGATTGCTGATGAATGTACATTAATTAATATTGGCCTACT